CCCGCCCCGCCCCCCGCCCCCCCCGCGTGCCCCCCCCCGGGCGGGCCCCCGCCCCCGCTCCTTACCGCCCTAGCTCCGCCTTCTCCTTCCTCTTCTCAATCGGGGGCGGAGAGACCCAGATTGAGGTGGGGGCAGGGAGCGCTCGGCGGCGTCACACGGCGGGGGAGACGGCTGGCCGCGGAGGGCGCAGGAAGGGGAGGGGGGGAACTGGGCGACAGCTGGCCCGGGGCTGAGCCGGCACCGCCCCTGGAGTAGTGTTGCACACCCGAGGCAGCAGAAACATGCGTCTCTGAACATGCACGGAGGGCTTCCAGTAATTCTACCATCCCCTTATTTCTTTTGGACAATAATTTTAGGGCACAGGAAAAGGCACCCTCAAATGTGACCACTGCACTCTTCCCTCCCCTCCCACACACAGCTGGGTCCATGGCAAACGTTTTCTGGATCCCCCAAGCACTAGGGTGCACCCCCCATCCCCAAGAGTCCTCAGCCAGCCTCCCCAGCCCAGCCAGCAAACCAAAGGTGCAAACCTTCTTTGGCATCAAGGTACCAACAAGGGGTGTGTGTGTGTGTAGGTCTTCCTCTTCCACAACAATATCAGAACCACCGGAGTCTGTAGGAGACCAGGCCTTCAGATTCTTATTCCACACCCATATGGTCCAGTTAAGGCTCTTGGCCCTGCACTATGGGCTCTGCTCTTCTGCCTTTGAGCTCAGCAAGATAGTCTCCATCCCAAATCCCGCAGGTGCAGATTACTCCATTTAGGCTGGAGTTCAGAGAACATCAAAGGGCTGCATACCAGTAATCAAAATGGTTGAACCACACTTCTGCCCTCCCAGTCTCTTCCTAAACTCTATCCAGTTAGAAGGAAAGCCAAAGCCTGGAACCCCGTCCCCTAACTTTTGAGGATTATATGGAGGTAGGAACACCATTCTGCCATAAGCATCAGCACTGGGGTTAGGGGACTTCCAAGGCTTTGTTCCTACATAAAGGGGAGAGGGAGAACCCCAGCTGTCCCCCCCCGCCCCCCCTTACAAACACACATCCATTAGTCCTCAAAACATTGTGTAAAGCTTTTTTTTTTTTCCACCCCTGTATTTTTAATTTTTATACCAACCAAAAATCCAGGGGCAGGGAGAAACAAAACAAAAAAAATATATAATAACCCCAAGGAACGACAATGAGCAGAAAAAAAAATCTTCCTTGAGTGTCACCAAGAGCAATTTGGTGTCCAAGGTGGGTCCCGTGTGGGGCAGGAAGAGGGGGCAGTGCATGGGGTTACCTCCCCTCTTCAGTGTCCCACAAGACTGAGCCCGCCCCACCTGCAGGCAAAGGGGGAGGGAGGGGGGAATGGGGGCACAGAAGGCTGCAGCGATTAAGGAGGAAGAGCCCCCACTCCCCTTATTGCTGTCCATGGTCCTGAAGGAATGAGGAAACAATGGGTTTTTGGAAAGGGGGGCAGGGGGAGTAGGAAGAAAGTCAAGACGGGACCAGCCCGTGTTTCCGTAGGACATCGAGCCCCCCCCCCACCCCTTAGTACTGATGTTCCAGAAGCGGTTGTGCAGCTGCGGGGCTATCTTCTTCTTCTCGCTGCCGCCCCCACTCTGCTATGGTAGGGGCAGACTCTGTCCGAGGACAGCTCCCGCAGGGTGTAGCCAACAGTTCCAGAGGTAATGGGGTGGAGTCGCCGCTGCCTTCTGGGATTGGTCCTGGGGTCGGGGGCTGCAGAAGATGGGGGGAGGGGGGAAGCCACCATGTTAGTCTCTCGGATTCACAGGTGAGATGTCTTTCAGATAATGGTTTCCCCCCTTTTAGACCTCTAGATAAAAATCCTTAAAGCTGGAGACAGGAATGCAGGACTTCACACTTCTGAGGTTGTTAAATTAAGCCTCTCTTTTAAAGAAACAACAAGAAGGGCTTTGTACCGTATTCCGTGTAAAAGTAGGGTAGTGTAACTCCTGTATATTCCCTCCTCCTACTCCCCAGAGATATCTTAACAGAAGAGAATCAGGATTTGACTGAGAGACTTAAAGAAGGGACGGGGAGGAAGACTGCAGGAAGGGAGAAGGAATGAAATCAAGGATGAAGTGGGAAAGGGTGGGTGGGGGGGGGGAGAAGGGTTGCCTTGCAGCAGAAGGGATTTATCCCGCTTTGCTTCCTTTTAAAGACATTAACCCACGCCAACCGGCCAATCCTGCTCCTGCCCTTCAGACACCCCCGACGGCTGTCATGGGGGAAGGAGGGAATCAACAGAATAGCTTTCCGTTACCACTAATCGGATTGTGGCGCTAAGGACATCGCCGCACTGGGTCCGGCCACCTGGCAAGGGAAGGATGTCTGAACATGCTTGCACAGAGAAGGTGAGGGGCTGTTCATGCACACACATATGTGCATCATGCAGCACTTGAAGTGTGCTAGGGCTCACCCCAATAAATAACAAAGAGGATGTCCTTGAAAACGTGCAGAGAGCCAGTGCCCAGCTCGCTCCTCCATTAGTCTGAACTACAGCTCCTTGTGTTAGAGAAACCTGGAGGAACAGGCTGGCCTACACCTGCTGTTCTTCCACCTGCACTCTTACACTGGAGTAGGAAGCCCAACGTAGGAAGGGCAGGAAATGCTGCTCTGGGTTAAGAAATCCCTGGAGATTTGGGAGCAGAGCCTGGGGAGGGGAGGGAACTTAGCAAGGTGTAACGCCACAGAGTCCACCGTAGTCCAAAGTAGCCATTTCCTCTAGGGGAACTCATCTGTGCTGTCTGGAGGTCAGTAGCAATTCTGCAGGCTGGCAAATCCAGTAAGGACTACTGAGCTAAACGCAGGCCGAGAGGTTTTTCAGGCCAGATTAACAAAGGACTGTTTAGAGTGGAAGGCAAGGAACTGTTTGGATCTGGAAGGGGAAAAAGCAAGCAAGCGAGCAAGTTATACTTGGGGGGGTGGGGAGGAAAAAGAATACACACCTGAGGTTTTGGACTGCTGCCGGCACCCGCTGTCCCCGCTGCAGCAACAGCAGAAGAAGAGAAGGAACAACTCTCCTTAGCGCACGCTGGGGGTGTTCCGGGTGGTACGTCAACCTCACCCCCCGCCAGCCCGTTCAGTCCCTTGCGGCTGGGCAGGCTCCATTTGCCACAGAGGCCCTCGTAGGCGAAGGCAGAGGGGGCTCCGAGTCCCGGGCGGAGAGGCAGAGGGGCACGTCCAGTCCCCTCGGCCACAGAAGCCAAGGAGCCGGCGCAAGAAAGCTGACTTCCCAAGAAGTGCGGGCCGGGGGGCCAAGACGCGGCTGGGGTAGGCAGGGGCCGTCCTTCGCCCTGGCTCAACAAGGGGGCTGGCTGGGGCTGGACCAGCCAGCTTTGGCTCTGAGGAGGGAGGCTGGACTCAAGTCCTAAGGCAGGGAGGGGGAGAGGAGAGAGGAAAAACACACACAGGTGTCAGACTGTCCGAAATCACAAGCCCCCAATGTGCTTCAGCACACCCAGAGTAACTTCCCCTCAGAGATGCAGCCAGTAAATAATAATTAATAATAATCATCATATGGCAGCATGCATAGTATAGCAAGGAGATCCTGAGATTGTCTGGCAGCCAGTCTTTCAGCATTATGCACTACTAGCTAACTTGTTTTTTAGGCAAGAGACATTTCAGAGGCGGTTTGCCACTGTCTGCCTCTGCGTCCCGGTCCTGGTATTTCTTGAAGGCCTCTCATCTAAATATTAGCCAGGCTGACCCTGCTTAGCTTTCGAGATCTGACGAGATCAGGCTAGCCTGGGCTATCCAGGTCAGGGCAGCTAGGAGATTCCCCAAAAGGCTACAGCCCTGGTGTGTTTTAGTTTAGTATGAGCATGAGAAAGACACCTGCTTTCCAATATTTTTCCATGCCAATCCTACTGAAACCTCCATAAACCAAGGACAACCAGACGACAAACTGGCATACAGCACCCGCTCGACCTGCCCCTTGCTGGTAGTCTGGGAAAGGACGCTGACTAGCCTATCAGCATCTAAGGTGGTAACAGGCTTCACAATATGGAGTGTCTGCACGTCAGAGATGTAAGTAAGTGGTAAAAATCGAGCCATCCCTCCATGCAAGGGCCCAAGGTGGAGCAGCGTTGAGGTCACTGTTGCAGAATTTGGGGTTACACAAGCTTGGGCCTTTCTGTTCCTCTATGCTATGTAGGTTTTGCTATAACTGACTTTTGGTTTCTTGGTTCTGAGGTCCCATAAGCCTTTCCTCTTTTGTGGGCAGACTAGGCAAAAAAAATAAAAGCCTCGTCCTGTAGATGTACCTTTGCCTGAATTCACACTTCATGGCCTTCAAAGCCTAAGCATATCTGTCTAGGTCTTTTTGACATTGCAGTTGATAAAATATATCTAGATGAAAGTTCATCTTGTCAGCTTAAGACAGGCTGGTATTTGGCAAGTTTGGTACATTTTAACGAGCTCCTCCCTTGATTCCTATTGGCTGAAATGAGTTTAAAAAGGATGCTTTGGGCTTTTGTTCAGGGCTGTTTGGCCAACACCCCACCTAGGCTTGAGTGACGTCTTGGTCCACAGTCCAGGAACTCCTTGTTCTTTCTGAAGTGCACACTATATCAGGTATTGGGATTTTTCTATACGCTACTGGGTATTGATATTGAATATATGCTGTTGTTTTACTTGTGGTGTGGTTTTCGAGTTAATAAATACTTTCAGTTTAAGGCAACTGTTCTCTCTGTGTTTCTCTCCCTCTGGAGGCCTGAGTTCCCTAGCCAGACTTCCACCCACCCACAGAAAAGAACCCTAATGGGGTTGGGGATCCCTGGAAGAGACCTGGACCCCTGAAATTCTCCTACAGTCACAACCATTTCAACTGTGGGACAGCAACAGAACGTGCAGATGTGTTGTGCCATCTGTGAGAGCCGTGATAGACAGCAGGCTGGCTGGAGGAGAGCAAGCAAACACTAGGCGTGGGGGGGGGGGGCGAGGGAGAGGACCAGTAAGGGAGCCAGGGAGGCTGAAAGGGCAAAAAACGTCTGAGCTCACCTATCAGTCACTGAAATATTCCATGACTTTGAAAAAAGTCAGGCTTTCTTTCCTCCAGAAAGTTTCTTTTGAAAGCTGATCAGAAGGTGATTCTAATGAACTTCCATCCCACTCCCCCAGTCCCCCAAACACTCTTCACTGAACCCTTCCAATCGGACCCGGTGTGTGGGGGGGTTGATCTCCCCTCCCTCCAAGTCGCACGGTATCACACTGCAGGTGACCTCCGTACCTGCCTGAGGCTGGGCGGTGGTGACAGCCGGTTCAGCGGTGTGCGCAGCCATCGGTCCGGCACTGTGGGCAGTGCTCCCGTGGACCTGAGACCCGTGGATTGTGGGGTTATTGCTGAGTGAGGAAGAGCCGCCGCCGCAATCTGAATCCTCAATGTTCCCTCCGCTGTTGCAGCCGGCCCCGCAGCCCTTCTGCAACCTACACGGCAGAGGGGGAAATCGGGGGAGAGGCGTAAAAAAAGAACCTCACCAGCTATGCCCTTCCCCCCCCCCGCTCCTCCTGCTGGGTGTCAGAAGCCCCTCCCCTAACCTCCACACCCAGCATTCCCAAGGACACAGGGAGAGGGGAACAATCCTCCCCTTCCGTCCCCGTCCCCCCACGATCCGAGGGATCCTCACCTCTCCCAGCTCCGTATGAACCAAGCAGAGATGTTGTGCAAGCTGATGGGGCCCCCCCACAGAGAGCGCAGCTGCGGGTGGCTGCCGGCGTAGGAAGTGGTGAGGGGCGAGACGTAGATGGGGTAGCCGATGGGCTGGTCGCAGGAGGAGTTGATCATGTTGCGCAGGGCCTGCTTGGCGTTCTGGATGCTGCCGCGCTCCGGGTTCCGGTTCCGGAGGAAGACGAGCTCCTGCTGCTGTCCGGCCCACAGGCCCCGCACGCACTCCCGGTTCACCTGCGGCAGACGGGAGGAGCAGCGTCACGGCGCAAGGCCCGGATTCAAAGGAGGGCCGATGGCATTTTACCTCCCGGGTTTCTGCCGTCACAGGACCTATGATGATGTGCTGCCCAGATTTCCCAGGTCTCCTTCCCAGATGCATACGTGCTTAAGTTTCAGAAAAGGGTGCAGCGTCATGTGCTTCCCAAATGTACTCTGCTCATTTTGCTCTTCTCTCAATGCAACTTAAATTGAACCTGAAACTGGGAAGCCCCAGGAGAACATGCTGGTCACAGAGGACAAGCACCACAGACAGGTGCTGGGTACTGCCCCAAAGCACTGGAAATGGATGCTGTAGGGACTTGCCTGGCCCTGTTGGCTTTGCTGGAGTGGAGAGGGCCTGACCCAAACTGCTGTGCATGCTGGGCCCAGGCAGACCTGTGTCCTCCTCGACACAACTCCCCTGCACCATCATCCAAAGTCCTCTCCAGGCATACTGGGTGCGAAAGCGGAAGCTTATGCCTACAGAATCTTACCAAATCCCAATGGCTGGAGTGGGGTGTGCGTGTGTGCCAGGACTCTGTGGAGAAACCACTTCCAATGCAATCAAATTAAAAGACACACACTAGTGTGATAGCAAATCACTGTCTTGCACGGTTGAAGCGGCTTGTCAAAAGCAATGCTGGAGGAGAAGGGGCTTGGTCAGCCACACTTGCATCCTCCCATCACTTGGACCACTCGGCTCTGAGCACTAGAGGCTATTTTCCCCCAAGGCAAGACACCAGCTTGCATTCCGCCAGGTAACAGGCAGGGAAAGAGCTTTATGGCTGCCCTCTGTTGTCATTCTGCCATGGTCCCAGGGCAGGGCATCTGGAGGCAGAACACATGCTGTGTCCTCCGTTTCTCTTGCAGTGTTGGAGGGTGCTCCCTCACACACTGTTCTGGTGAAGTGGGAAAATCATCTCTGTAACTACACATGGCTCATTCCTTCCCTGTCTTCTCCAGGAATGCAGAAACATCCCTCTCCTTGACCAGCGGCCCCATTCCATGGCCTTAATGGTTTGGCACAAGCCGCCACAACTTTAGTGGTGGAGGAAACACAATGTGGGAAGGGTTTGCGGGGGAAAGTGGACAATTAATTACCAACCAAATAGTGCAAAACTGTTGTACTCCAGGGACAGGCGAGGAACTTCCTGTCTGCTTATCCTTGACTGTTAAGAGCTACAGCACTAGGACCACCCTGCAACTTGGACTGCTGAGGCTCAGGGGAAGGGCAGCAGGAAGTCACTACAAGCCTGAACGGTACAGTCCAGAAGGGCGGCTAGCTTTAACTCTCCCCTGCTCTCTCTGCTCTGTGGGGGAAACACAGGCCCTCCCATTGCCTAGGAAACTGTAACCTCTGAAGGACTTGGGCCAGGCTACATTCCTCATTCCCTTCTGCCCCAACCCTTTCCCCCCTTGCTCTTAACATGCCATGCCACTCTCAGTGGAACTTTGCCACCAGTTACTACCTGATCTGTTTAACTAGAGATGTCGGGGTTTGAACCTGGGACTTCCTCCATGCAACACAGGTGTTCTGCCCCTGAGCCACTCTGCCCTTCCCCTTCAACAACCGTTCCAAAATGTGCTGTCAACTCTCTTCTTATACCCTCAGACAAACCGGGATCCCCTCAGGGCTGCCAGAGTTGGACTTCCTGCATACTCCTCCTATCCCTTCCAGCAAAGCTAGTTTTTTTTCCACCCAGTTCATAACTGCGGCTAACCCAACCTGTGCAAAAGTGATGTTTCAGCATCTTTTGTGACCTGGGGATTTTGGCCCACCTTGATGACCCGAAATCCGAGGTAGCGCTTGTTGAGCATGATAATCTTGTACTCGTCGCTGGCGTCATCCATCACGTGACGCAGGGCCAGCAGAGCGGGCGTGTTGGTGAGGATGGCGCTGCGCCACGCTGGGTCCCCCTCATGCGAGATCACCATCTTCTCCTCGTTGGACATTATGGCATCGTACAGCACAGCTGGGTCATCATATTCATCCGGGGAGGTAAAATGATCCTTGAAAGGGAAGGGGGAGGCATCGTGTTGGGTGTGTGGGGTGTGTGGGGAGAACCACCTGTCACCAGACAGCAGCCCCTTTTTCTTGGTCCTGTGTTGCCTAAACATTTCCATTCCAGGACAGCAGGGGAGAATTTCTACCTTTTCAAACAAGTGCCTAGAGACCCTCCCCCCCTCCCCTTTCAACTCTCCAAGCCTTACCTAAACCAGGGAGGAGGGGAAGGAAGGGCAGAGCACACCTGGTGTAGTTTGAGGGACATGCGCACCCCGGGCGCCACCACATGATGCAGCAGATCCATGTCGGCAAAGACCCACTCATCGCGGGGTGACGTGATTCGGAAATCTCCCTTGAAGAGCGCGTGCAAGCCATACAGGAAGGGCTCCAGGCTGTGGAGAGGGGGAGGATGCACATGAGCAGGTGTCGGGAGGACGGAGCGGAGTAGCTGAAGGAGGGGGTGGGGCAGATCTCACCTGGCTGACATGCTGTGGGAGGCGGTGCCCAGGGCCCGGCGACCCAGGATGCAAAGCCCAAAACACAGGGTCACCAGAGGTGAGTTCCAATCCCGCTCCACTGCCTGCAGAGAGCAAAAAAAAGCCAGACAAGTAACAGAAGTATGAAAAGAAGTATATGAAAGAAAACAGAACCAGGGCTTGAGGCATCATCTAAACCTGCCCCTCTGTCCTGCGACAGGAGAGGGAAGTTTCAAGTCTAGGGCAGCTAAATTTGCATCCCGTAGCACCTAAGAGATCAACAAGATTTTCAGGGTGTGACGAAATGCATTTTTTTCCTAGGAGGTTTGAGCTCCCCATGCATTTTAAAAGCCCCCCCCCTTTTCTGGGCAGAGAACAGCTGGGGGGTGGAGTCAGTGCAATTGCTTCCAGCTTACCCTCGTACAAATGTAAATAAATCCAGAAGGAGGGAAAATGGGTGAGTCAAGCTCTTCCCCTTCAAGCAGGGAACAGAGACTTTGGGAGGAATAAAATGCTAGAGGGACACCAGGAAGGAAATGTGTAGAATTCTCAGGAAATGCTTTCTTGACTTGGCAGGATCTGGTCAGCAGGTGGAGAAACAGATATGATAAAAACTCATTGCAACAGGAAGGAGCTCTTTTTTCCTTGGGTGCTGCATCAATGAGCGCACAAAGACTTCTCTGCTGGGAAGGCAGCCACTGACCATGTGGTTGGCCTGGACATTTGAAGGGAGATTCAAGGTAAGGGTACCTCTATAGGGATCTGTAACATCCTAAGCAAAAGGAGCCTGTCCTATATTTTAACATCTGAAAGGGCATGTAAAGAGGGACAGAGGATTTGTGTTTTTGGACCATTTCTTTTGTAACCCTTGCTCAAATCTGGTGCTGTGCTAAAAGTATGCTTATGAACACTTTCTTTTTAATAAACACTTCATAACTTTAATGCTGGAAGCAGTTCTCTGTACCACATAGACCTCCAGTCTTGGACACGCTATTTTAAAAGGAGTGCCAGAGGGAAGGCAGGCAGTTAGTAAGTGGTTATTTCTCCAAGGGTGCAAAAGGCTGTAAACTATCCCTGTGGTGACCAGGTGCTGGGTAGCGGGAGACATAGAGGTAATGCCTCAGAACTTGAAAAGGATGCTGGGAGCTCTGACCCTTCCAGTAGGTAATTCTTTACAAAGGTCAGGTGGTGGCAGCAGCGGGCCCCTTCAGGTGTTGAGAAAGCCCTAGGAGGGCAGGGCAGAATAGGGCCTGCAGACCACAGCACGTGGGGTATAAGGTTTTGAGAGTTAATACTCCCTTTGTCACAGAGCATTGACTCCCAAAAGCTTTTATTTCAAGTCTACACTAAGTGATGAATGGCGATCTCCCAGGGAGGAGGAAGAGAGACCAGGAGCTGCCCCCCCCCATGTTTGGAATTAAGAAGGACTTTCATCAGTGTAGCCAGGTTGAGCCCCAACACCTCTCGTTTCATGAGACCGGACCCTCTCGCCACCCTGCCGCAATGGCTCACCTTCTCCCTGCGGCCAGCACAGTACTGGATCCAGTCGAGGTAGATGTTGCAAAAGGAAGCCAGGGTGATCCCTGCCATGCGGTGGTCGTAGTCCTCATCTATGTTGAGGTTGAACGTGGGGTCGCTGTCCACATAGTTGAGGGAGGTGCAGGGCCGCAGGGCTTCCTGGATCCCCTCGTTGGCCAACCAGTCCTCCAGCTTTGAAGAACAAGTCACGTAATAGATGATGCTCTGCCAAGGAGGAAGTGGTTGATGGGCAAGAGAGAGAGAGAGAACAGGATGTTAGCCCTGTGTGTGCCCTTACCATGTCTGTTTTACAGGCAAGCCTCTACTCAGCTCCTGTGAAGAGTTCCCCAGAACATCTCTACTTTTCAAGAAGAGACACTCAGCAATAGAACACTGACCAACGGTCCGGCTTCTGTAAGGAAGGGGGAAGTCAGCTTTTTTGCTCTGATGGCTGGGGAGGAGTCACGGCTCAATGGAAGAGCAGCCGCTTTGCGTGCAGAAGGAGTCAGGTCTAATCCCTAGAAATCTTTCCCAAAAAGGGTTCAAGGGATGAGGTGATGGGAACAGACCTCTGCCTGAGACCCCGGAAAGTTGCAACCAATCAGAGCAGACAGTACTGGCCTTGATCGACCAGAAGGCTGACTCAGAATCAGGGAGTTCCATGTGCCTGTGCCTGACTTTGCAAGAGGGACAGAAGGGTCTGGGCGGGCCAGTTTGCAGGGAATTCATTCAGTGGTGCAGAGGACGTGAAAAGTGAAGCGGAAAGTGGGCCTAAGCTGTGTGTGCACAGAGCCCACACAAAGTGGCTGAAGAGAGTGAGATGGAGGGGAGGGGCTGAGAAAGGGGACCCTGGGGGAGGACCAGACACATGACTTGAGAGGCCTGAAGCTCAGAAGGGCAGAGGGGGAGGGAACAAAAGGCAACTATACCCTCCCCCATTTCTTCCACCAAGGCAGTGAAAATGGGAGCTTCTAGTTCCTAGGGCAGGCCCCAGATAACCAAGTTAAATGTGATCCACAAGCCCCTGTATTCCTGGCAACCCTCACCCCCATTTCTGCAGTCCCAGTTAGGCAACCAAAAGAGGGTTTTTACAGATCCCTGATAGGACACTGATGGTAGGACCATGAGTGGAGTAGGCAGCATGGCCTGCACACACGGCATGCCCAAAGGCCCAGGTTCAATTCTGGCCACCTCCAGTTTAAAAGATCTCATGCAGAAGGTGTTGGGAAAGAACCTGCTCTGCCTGAGACCTTGGAGAGATGGGCCAAGTCAGGAAGACGCTACAGAGCAGCCCGGACCAATGCAGAAGGCGCCTTCCCATGAAGCCCCCTAGGAGGCGGCTGCGGCCGAGTGGGAGAGCAGCTGCTTGGCAAGAAGGTCCCAGGTTCGGTCCCCAGAGGAGGAGCAGGTAGTAGGCGATGCGAAGGATCTGTACCTGAGAGCTGCTGCCAGTCTGGGTGTGATGGACTGATGGTCCGTGTGGCAGCCTCAAATGTTCATATATGTCCAATTCAGCTTCAAAGAGATCAAGCCCAAGGGACACCAGAGAATGTCAACACTGCTGCTCGGGAAGCCTCTGCTGCTGATGGGCAGCCTGGGTCTCCGGCTCCCCAAGTGGCAAAGGACGGAGTTGGTTATGGCCTGCCTGGGAAGCAGGACGGACTGTGTGGGGGGGTGGGTGGGTGGCTAAGACAGGAGATAACCCTCTGCCTTCCCTTTCTTTCTTTCTTTTTTAGGGTCTGGTTTCAGTATCAGGGAGCTTCACATATGTCCAAATGGGTGGACAGTCCAGCAAGCTCTGGAGAAAGCCAGGCAGGGAGAAAAGAGGCGGAGAGTACCAGAGGGTGTGGGGTGCATGTGGGAGGGAGGGGGGATTTTCATGTCTTGATCTGAACTAAGTAGCCCAGCTGCTGACTGCAGATCTCCTGCAACACACACATGTGAGAAAGAGGCTCCAAAATGGATTCTCGCCTTTGGTCACCAAAACACCGCAAAGCCTGAAAGCGCACGCATTCTGCCAGCAGCTTCTTCAGCTCGGTCAACAAAATATCATTCCACTGCCTCGGTCACCTCTTGCAGCAGGCAGCGGGTACATCTGACAAGCGCTCCAGACTGGGGTCGGGGAGCACGGGCTCAAATCCGTGCTTGCTCTGGCCTGGTTGTTCTCACCCTGGCCCACCTCACAGAATTGTGGTGGGGACAACAGCAGAACACACAGGACCCTTGGAGGAAAAGGGGGACTGAAAATAAACAAACCACACTCCCCCACCCCTCCTCACCTTGACGTAGTAGGTGATGAGGATCTTCCGCAGATCGAAGACCTGGAGCATTGAGGCGGCGTTATTGTCGCTGATGCTGTAGCCCTCCAGAACGTACTTGGTGGCCGCCACTTCCCAGGCCAGCCAGCGCTGCCCAAAGGCCGCGTTGAAGCTCAGCATGCGGGGCAGGTGGCCCGGCTCGCAGCAGCAGCAGCCCTCGTCCTCTTCCACGCCCTCCGTGATGGCCTCCACCTCTCGCTGCTGGCAGTAGGTCCCTGGACAAGGGCAACAACCCCACAGGTTTGCTACAGGGTAGATTTCAGGCACACACATACCCCTCCCTGCCAGGCAACTGGCACTGCAAAATGCACATCGTACAACTGCTAAATCGGCCTTTTATCATCTTCGGCTGTTTCGGCAGTTGGTCCCCTTCCTTGACCGCCGCGACCTGGCGACGGTGATCCATGCGACGGTCACCTCGAGACTTGACTACTGTAATGCTCTCTACATGGGGCTGCCCTTGTCTCAAATCCGGAAGCTGCAGCTAGTGCAGAACGGTTGCTGACGGGCTCCCCACGGTGGGAGCACATCCAGCCAGTGCTTAGGTCACTGCACTGGCTGCCTATAGCATACCGGATCCGCTTCAAGGTGCTGGTGCTTACCTTTAAAGCCCTATATGGCCAGGGACCGACCTACCCGAGGGACCGCCTTTCCCCATATATACACCAGAGAGCACTACGGTCTGGGGCCCAACACCGGCTGACTATTCGGGCCCCAAGGATGCAAGGCTCACCAGTACCAGGACCAGAGCCTTTTCTGTGGTGGCTCCTTACTGGTGGAACAAGCTCCCGGAGATCAGGGCCCTGCGGGACTTTTTACAGTTCCGCAGGGCCTGCAAGACGGAGCTCTTTCACCAGGCCTTTCAATAGGAGCCGCCACCACTGTTACCACCAATGATCCTAGTGAATGCTTGGATCCTAGGTCTGGCCCAGACATATCGCTAGGCCTTCCGGCGCGAGGGATGATGATCGGTGGAATAACACAGAATGAGATCTGGAAGCACGCCATCTAATTTGTAGTACTGTATGCACTTTATTGTTCATTGCTAACTTATGTCTTAAATTATTTGCCTATGAGATTTTATAGAGTTTTAAAGTTTTATGTATGCCAATTAGGTACATTGTACCGTTTTGTTAGCCGCCCTGAGCCTGCTTGCGGGATGGGCGGGGTATAAATATAATAAATAAATCAATAAATAAATAAACTGGAGAGATTCAGAGGTCACCGTGAATCCGAAGCAAGCGCCCCCAGGTAACAACCAACCAGAAAACGCAAGGGGGGTAAACAGCCACACAGGCCCCCCCCCCGGGTATCTTGGGTTTCCCTCCCCCATGCCCTTGACTTCCCTCTCACCCTAGCCACGCTACCCCTCTGCCCTCACCGCGGAATTCAAGGCCTCGCAGCTGGAAGGTGACCAGGCCGTTGCCGATCTCAATGAGGTGGACCAGGGCATTCAGGTAGTCCGAGGCCAGGATGAAACAGTCCCCCGTGGCGTAGTTGCCCCACCGCCCGAGCAGAAGGTCCCCACAGAGCGCGTGCTGCAGCGAGCGGGTCAGGTGCTCGTAGAAAATGGAATTCAGGTTGTTGTCATCAGCACCTGCAAAAGAGGCACACATACGCACGCCTGCACCCCATTTTTAAAAGCACTGGCAGCTGGGCTTGCTTCTAACTACCAACTATATGTTCTCAGAGGCTGTGCAATGCAGTGCACCGGCTAATTGTCTGCGGCACACTTCACACAGAGAGGGAGAGGTGTGGAGGATGCTGCCTTCCCAGCGGGAGCTGGACTATGGGGCTTGTCGTCTTCCCCTCCCAACTGTGGGCACCCATAGTATCACCTGAAACACACCTGGGTTACGGTCAAGCTGTGTGGCCAGTCTGGTGTTGGAATGGTCGACTCTCTTGGTGCTGAGAAGCAGGAAAGAGGGACAAGGCTGAAGGCCCTATTGCAAGTTCAAGCACGGAGAGCCCACCCCAGGGCACAGGAGGCCCGGGCGCTTGGGTGAGGGACGCCGGCACAGAGTCCCCCACTCCATCCCGAGAGGAAGCCACAGGCTTGCTGTCTTACTCACTTGTAGTCACGCTCCCAAAACTTGACTGGGCGGGCGTAGGACATGATGAAGACCGCACTGCCCAGCAGTGGGTTGAGGGGAGTGGAGAAGAGGGCGGAAAGGACAGCCTGGACAAACAGCATGGCCGAGTCTGGGCAGATGCCAGTCAAGGAAACACCAGGGTGGAGAGAGCAGGAGAGCCCCAAGAACTCAAATCCTGCACAGAACAATCACCACCTGGGCAGCTCCTGGCAGGGGCTGAAGCCCGGCTCTCCCCGGGCATCCTCTTCCCTCTCTGCCACGTGACGACTGAACCAGGGAGGCTCTCGAGCACAGCAAACACACCGCGTGACAAGACCTGGACTATTCCATGCTGGAAATATAACATTTTACTGAACTCCGCTATCTAAGAAAAGCTGAATTCTACCACCTGTGTAGCATTTCACAAATGGAGGGAGTAGGCATGCAGCTGTGCCTGTTAGGCAGAACGGGCTCTGCGCCAGCTAGTCTGTGGGAGGGGCCCTGCCATGAGCAGCCCTCCCCAGACTTATTCATTTTGTTTATTTAACGCATTTGTACTTCACCTCTCTCTCCCCACTGGGGATCCAATGTGGCTTATATTGTTCTCTCCTCCACTGTGTCCTCAGAACTACCCTGTGAGGTAGGTCAGACTGAGAATATGACTGGCCCAAGGTCACCCAATGAGCTTCCATGGCACAAGTGAAGATTCGAACCTGGGCCTCCCAGATAATCGTCTGACATGCTTAGCTGCTACACCATGCTGGCTCTCCACTCTAAGTCTTACCAGAAAGGTGCTGTAAGACTTCACAAGGCATTGATCGCACATGGCCAAGACCCTCTTTTGTGGCCACCGGGCCTAGAAACTTGCTTCTTTTAAATGGAACTTGAAACACAAGGGAAGAGAAGACTACATTCCACCATCTTTTTAAAGCTTGAACAGAAAAGCTAAAGAACACGGCCAATCCCACAGCTTGCCCCGGAGGCATCTTGGGGCTGAATAGAGGTGGACAGTGTCATCCAGTCGCAGCCAACTTATAGGAACCTTGTCGGGTTTCCAAAAGGCAAGGGACAAACAGAGGTGGTTTGGCCATTGCCTGCCTCTGCAAAGCGATCATGGATTCCCTTGGTGGTCTCCCATCCAAGAACTAACCAGGGCTGACTACGCTTAGCTTTCGAGATCTGAAGAGACTGGGCTAGCTGCTGCTGAACATTTTCATTACTCTGGCCAACAGCCACCGAGAGACGAGTCCTTCACAAACCTAATGAGGAATGGGTCTATCAGAGCTACCAGGCATGGTGACTAAATGGAACCTCCACATTCAGAGGCAGTCAACCTCTGAATCCCAGCACCCAGAGGAAACATCACGGGAAGGTCTTGGCCTCTGTGCCCTGTCATCGGCCCTCCAGAGGAACTGGCTGGCCACTGTGTGATGCAGGACTAGATAGACCACTGGTTTGATCCAGCAGAGCTCTTCTTATATTCTAATCCTCCTTAAAACCACTTATGTTGTCACTGCAACTTCCTGTGGCAATACATTCCATAGATTAGTTGGAAATCCACCCAAAGCCCCCTTCCAGCTTCCCTAAGGGTCCTGCATTAAGAGATTCCCCTCTGTCTATTCGTTCACTACATACCGTTCACCATCCTGGAAGCATTCACCCCCACCCATTCCCTTCATCATTGTGACAACAAAAGGATACGAGGCACCGCAAAAGGCTGGGCAAAGGCATGGAAAGCCGAGCCCCACGTGATCTGCCAGGGGGCGATGTAGGTGAGCACGAACCGGAGCTTGTACAAGAGATCCCACAGCTAGAAGGGGGGGGGGGGAATAGGATACAAGAGGGAGAGAGATTTACACAGGAATTTGGCAGGGACTAAAGCAAAGTGACAGGAAGTAGGAGTAAAGAGGGGTTCTGTCCAGAGGCACTGGAATCACCTGTATGTGGAATCACCTGTGTGTCCCCACTGATGGACCTCCTGATGGCACTGGCCACTGTGTGACACAGAGTGTTGGACTGGATGGGCCTTTGGCCTGATCCAACATTGGCGTCTCTTATGTTCTTAAGGAATGCTGCCAGACAGACGTCCACGGTTACCTTTCCAGCTCTGAAGGGAATTGGGGAAACTAGGCATTGGGACTTTAGAGACTGCTTCCAGTAGCACAGGCAAAAAGTGTCTAGTGTTCAAAACTCATTCTTGGGAACTCCTTTGTTGCATGCCTCGATGGCCTTTGAGTGTCCTGCAGGGGCTTCTACACCTTTTTTCTCTCTTGAGGAGCAACATGCACACACCCCATCCCAAATGGTGCACTGCGGGCCACTTTGAAGCTCTGCTGTTCCAGAGTGGCTCCGCATGCAGCTCAGGAACTCCGCTTCTGATAAGGAAAGTCAGAAGCCCTTCTAGACAGAGGGTGCTTCTTTGGCAGTCCTCAGGCCTGTACGTGTTCTGGGTCCCCTACTTCCTCCTTGGCAAAGGTAAGGCTTAAGTGGGTTAAAGGGGGCAGACAACAGAGGCAGCCACACAGCCACGCTTGGAGGGAGCACAAAGACCACCCTTTGCCTGGCTTCTATTTCTATCCTTTTCCCTACCATTTCTTCCTGCTGCATTTCCTCTCTCCACTCCTCATTTATCAGCCAGGCCCACCTTTGATCAACAGGGATCCACACCACCCAGTAAAACAACATTATCCTAGGCCTGTCTGAAAGGTACCTGGCTGCAGAAATCTAGATGAACCTAAGCAGGTTGGTCAGTGTGTGACTGGGAGCTTTTGCCGGGGAACCCAGCACGTACACTGCCTTGAGCTCCCTTGGAAAGCCAGGATTAGAAAGGGACAAGAAATAGAAAATATTGATTCATGATGCATCATGAGCCAGGAGAAACTACACCTAGGGGCTGAAATACAGCAAAATCGATGATGGCCAAAAGAGAACACATTCTGTACGGTATCACCTTTGAAGAATTTTGGGGGATTGCCGTTCACGCGGGATGCAGCAGCCAGCCTGTTTTGCAGTGCAGAGAACACTCTGCAGCACTCTGAAAAGACCTTTGCTCATTCTGTTAGCTTCTGGTTACTGCCTTTAACGCCTAAATGGCTTGGGACCGGCGCCGGTATTTAAAGTGCTGCCTGCTCCCGTATAATGCCACTTGTCAGAAAAATAAGCATCACGGACCTTTCCTAACCCTCCCTGAAATAAGCTTTGGTGAGGGGGAGAGAGAACCAGAAATAGGCACTAGTCTGTGATAACGCCATAGTTTCCCACAAGCATTTGCTTGCCATCCCAACCAGTTACATTTTTAAGATGCCAGCTGAAAAAGCTCCATAGTTTGACCTGGCTTTTGGCTGATTCCCCCCCCCCCTTTACATCTACTGCCAAATTGTTTCGCGTGTTGCTTTAACTGATTTTACTTACCCTTTTATATAGCCTTACATTATCACTGGCATGGTATATTTCAGTAATTGTTTTAGCTACCATGAGCATTTTTTTAAATCAACCACATGGCCAATAAACACTGCAAATAAGTGAGAATGTATGACTGGTGGAAGAGTGTCTTGAACTGCAGAATCCCAGGGTGGAGCGGAGAGACTGAGTGGATTGTAGGAGGCTGACTGCGCTAGGCCTTCTGGGTCAACGAGCCAGAAGTGAAAGCCAGATGGGGGAGGGAAGCTTCCAAGATTTTGAACCATCCCACTTGCAGAATAAATGCAGGCTAAGCACAAAGCACATTTTTGAAGGGATGATTAGGAGCCAAACAATGGTGGCCTTCGCTGGTATAGGCAAGCCGCCCGAGTCCCTCTGAGTGCCACCGATCTGGTATCTGCGTCGACTGATTTCCAACACAAACGCCGGACCACGTGGGACACCCTGCCAAGCGTTACCCTAGATCCTCAGTCCCACGAACGACACCCTGAGCCCCACGGACCAGCACGCACCTTGCTGAAGAGAACGGACATGACGAAGTAGTCGGTGAGGAAGCCCTCCGAGTAGTGCTTGTAGTCGAACTGGAAGAAGAGGACGGTGAAGCCGAGCGTGATGTACTGCTGGGGAGGGCAGCAAAAAGAGCACCGCAGAAGCTTCATGCCTGCGACAGTGATGAGAAGGGCATGGCAACTGGGATGGAGGGGAAAGGGAGAAAGAAGGTGGCACACGGTTTTTTGTTTTGTTTTTTTTGAAGGAATCCTGGAGGCTGAACCCATTGCACCACTGTTTGGATACATTTTTAAGCTTCCCTCTCTGGTCTCGGGGAAATCCTGCTCAGCCCCCTCCTCCCTTCGGCTCCAGTGGTTCTGCCCCGGCCTCGAGCAGACACACTCAAGCAGGCCTCTGCAACCTGAGAAACTACAGGCTTGCTTTACGGAAGAGAACTTGACATTTCCCAGATGCCCAATTCCAGACCAAGCTCTACGCTTTTGCAAAGCAATCACAGGAGCATTCGGCCGTGCAGGGCAGGCAAGGAAGACTGCAGAGCTGAGTTCCGGCCTACGATTCAGCCAAATGGAGCCCCGCAACAGTCTGACGCTTATGGCTGTAAGAGATGAGCTAGACAGCCTCAGAAGCCCAGGAGGAAGGGGGGTTTAGCATGGAAGACTTCAGGAGCCTGTAAGCTCCTCGCTCCTTCCCAGAACCAGGACATGGTGCCATCCCAAAATGTTCCTTAACGGCTACAATTCATAAAGATTGCAGAGTCCAGCTGCTCCTGCTGCAAGATTTTTAGCAGAGGAGTCGCAGCACCACCCCCTGTGCAATCTTAGACCCCCTTCCTGGCCTGCAGGACTGGCAGTCACCATTCGTAGTGCAGCCCCACTACGAACCGTTCCCTGCTTCCCCCCACACCCCCCAGCCAATCCCACAAAGCAGGACGGCAATCTAAAGTGCAGCACCTACTAGATGCAAAACTTGTCCTGCCGCGGGGCGCTGACCAGATGGGCGTCAATGGTGAGGGCGTTGAGCACCACAGCTGGGTAGATGAAGTACTTCTCCACGCACTGGAGCCAGGCATAGAGCTTCTCAAACCACATCAGCTGGGCAGCACCTGAAGAAGGGGAAAGGAGTTCGCTGGGGACGGCTGTGGCATCCCCTCATCTATCAGCTTCCAAAGTTGCCACAGAGCAGATTGGACCACCTAACACACCATTCTGACCAGCAGGGGGTGAACAAGGGCTCGGGCAGTGCCCCTGTGCACTAAACCTGAGATGTCAGGGATTGCACTGGGGACATTTCTGCAGTTCCCTCTGATGGCAGCTCCTCTACCTAAGAAGAGGATACAGAAGTACCTGCACAACACACATGTAGAAGAAGAAGAAGAAGAGAAGAGATTGGATTTATACCCCGCCCTTCACTTGGAGTACGAGTGAATCTTGGAATTCACTGCCACAGGAAGTGGTGGTGGCTACAAGCATGGACGGCTTCAAAAGGGAATTAGATAAGCATGTGGAGTAGAGGTCCATCAGTGGCTATTAGCCACAAGGTATAGATAGGGGCTCTGGGGCAAGAGAGGCTCTGTCTTCTTGGTGTTTGGGGGGGGGTCAACAGTGGGAGGGCTTCTAATGTCCTGGCCCCACTGGTGGACCTCCTGATGGCACCTGGTATTTTTGGCCACTGTGTGATACAGAGTGTTGGACTGGATGGGCCTTTGGCCTGATCCAACATTGGCATCTCTTATGTTCTTATGAATCCGTTTATATCCTGCAAGGAACACCCAGAGAAGGTAAAAATCAATGTGTGTATTATGTGCCATCAAGTCGCTTCTGACTTATGGGGACTGTATGAATTAATGACCTCTAACATGCCCTGTCGTTGACAGCCTTGCTCGGGTCTTGCAACCTGAGGGCCGGGGCTTCCTTGATTGAGTCAATCCATCTCATCTTGGTTCTTCCTCTTTTCCTGCTGCCTTCAACTTTTCCTAGCATTATTATCTTTTCCAGTGGGTCTTGTCATCTCATGATGTGATCAAAGTATGATTACCCTCAGTTTAGTTTTTTAAATTTCTTTTTTAAAAAACTGAAAAAAGAATAAAGGGGAAAAAAATTAAACCCCTGCAACTAATTTTTTTAAAGGAAAAAAAAAAGATACACATAAAGACAAATATATAACAAATAGTGGTGGTGGATCAACACATAATTTTCTATAAATAGTGTCCAAATACCTAAAAATAAGTCCATATGCAATTGCTGTCTATATACCATGCGTTCAAATGTTAATAGAGTTCTAAGGCCCTCAATCCATTGATTTACTGAGCGGTGGGATTTATCTCAGCTAAGCGGTTGTAGCTTCTAGGAAGGCTTGATTTGTCAATAAACACATAAAACAATAAAAGCTAAACCATCGCTAAAAAAAGAGAGTTAATGCTAAATTAGGAATGGGCAGGAAAGCCCATTCCAGTCTGGCTTTCGCCCGGGGCATGGGACAGCGCTGGTCGCCCTTACTGACGACCTCCGTAGACATCTGGATCGAGGCGGTGTGGCAGCGCTGCTGCTGTTAGATCTGTCGGCTGCATTTGATACGGTCGACCATCAGCTGCTGGCCCACCGCCTTGCCGACGTGGGGATTCAGGGGCTCGCCCTTCAATGGCTTGCCTCTTTTCTCCAAGGTCGGGGACAGAGGGTTGTGCTAGGGGAGCAGCAGTCCCGGAGGCACCTGCTCGAATGTGGAGTGCCTCAGGAGGCAGTACTCTCCCCGATGCTATTTAACATATACATGCGCCCCCTTGCCCAGATTGTCCGGAGGTATGGGCTTGGGTGTCATCAATATGCCGATGACACCCAGCTCTATCTGATGCTGGGCGGCCAGTTGGACTCCGACCCAGAAGATCTTCACTGGGCCCTACAGGCCGTGGCTGGGTGGCTCAGGCTGAGCCGGCTGAAGCTGAATCCGGCAAAGACAGAGGTCCTGTGCCTGGGTCGGGGGGGGGGATGGGATTGGGGCTCCCGCTCCCAGCCTTCGATGGGGCTCCTCTCGTTTCAGCTTCGGAGGTTAGGAGTTTGGGAGTGCTCCTGGACCCCACCTTAACGATGGAGGCCCAGGTGGCAGCCACTGCCAAAGCAGCCTTCTATCATCTACGGCTGGTGCGGCAGTTGGTCCCCTTCCTTAGCCGCGGCGATCTGGCCACAGTGATCCATGCAATGGTCACCTTGAGGTTAGACTACTGCAATGCTCTCTACATGGGGCTGTAGCTGGTGCAGAATGCGGTGGCCAGGTTGTTGGTGGGTGCCCCTAAATGGGAACACATCCAACCTGTGCTGAAAGCGCTGCACTGGCTGCCTATAGCATACCGAATTCGCTTCAAAGTGCTGATGCTTACCTTTAAAGCCCTATATGGCCAGGGTCCGGCATACCTGAGGGACCGCCTTTCCCCACACAGGCCCCAAAGAGCACTTTGGTCGGGGTCGCAACACCGCCTGGTGACCCCAGGCCCTAAAGAGGCCAGGCTTGCTGCCACGAGGGCCAGGTCCTTCTCGGTGGTGGCTCCTACCTGGTGGAATGAGCTCCCGGAAGAGATCAGGGCCCTGAGGGACCTCTTACAGTTCCGCAGGGCCTGCAAGACGGAGCTCTTCTGCCAGGCTTTTGAGTAGGAGCTGCCGCCGCCACTACCACCACTGTGCAACTGCAGAGCAGTATCGCCAGGTTGGGCCGCTTGGTCATCTGGAACATCGTGGCCCATGGCGTCCCCTCTTTCTGATCCCTTCCTGATATGCAATGGGGAGTGTGTATTTATAGTCTCTCATGTATCCTGTTTGATGTGAATTCTAGTCTTAACTGTTTTAACCTGCTTTACCGCTATTGCACATTGTGCCTATGTAAGCCGCCCTGAGCCCGTATGCGGGGAGGGTGGGGTATAAATGAAATAAAATAAATAAAGGCCAAAAGGAATCAACAAACCAATTCACTCAGAAGCTTTCCAGAATAGGCGAGTTCCACACTGGGAGGCCTGCTGGAACGCAAGCTGGAGAACGGAGCCCCAACAAGGTTTGTTGGCGGGTGGGGAAGGAGATGGACCTGCCAGGGTTCACACCTGCCTGGGATCTCTGCTCTCGTATGTGGACACCATAAAAGCAAACCCCAACACCCAACTCCTGGAAGCCTGGGAAGGGGGTTTGCACCCAGGCATGCACATACCCTCCCCCCGCCTAGCACTTACTGCGCACTTCAAACTGGCTGTACTCCCGTGGCTTCAGCACAGGTTGCGAGAGGCAGAACCAGGGCAGCTGCTTCCGTAACTGGGGCAAAAGGTAGTGAGTGAGGAAGCCCACCAGGCCCGCCAAGGCGTAGAGCACATACCCTAGAACAGACTGAACACAGCACAGTTAACAGTCACGGAGACAGGGCTTGAAAGGGAGAAGACGCAAAGACACATCCGAGAAAACTGTGGCTCAAACGCAAGGGACAGGAGCCTCCATGCACATGTGTGGCACAACGGCACAACCACAGCCAGCCTCAGCCACTCCCACTCGAGGTACATTCAACGATACCCCAAGACGACAAACAAGGGCCCCAAATACCGCCAACCTCCCCCCCCCCTGCTTCTGCAATGCCCCTCTTCTCAAGAGTACCTCAAGAGCAATGAAGACTGTGCTGGCACTGATAGCAAAAGTCAGGACAGCGATGACCAAACACATAACCAGGTCTGAGTGAAGGATCTCCCTCTGGGGTACGGCAAGGATGGGACAAAATGAGAGGACAAAGTGAGAGGCTGGGGACTTTTGGGACACACAGTCCCCTCCTCCCAAGGATAATCGGGCCCTTGTTTCTGGCCCCTGACCTCCGCCTCCCCCCCAAGTAAGTGCCCCTCCAGTTTCTCCAGGCCAAGCCAGCTTCACAAGACTGACTACCACTCTACTTATGCTTTCCCCCCTTTGCTTACTGCCCTCTTTCGGCTCCGTTCCTTCCATTAGGAGCACAGATGAGGAAGCAGTTGCAGGGCCTGAATCCTCCTTGGGGTACCCCCCCCGCCTGCAGCAACTCCACACCCTCCCCCCAGCTTCTCCAAAGCCCCTCACCAGAGAGCTGCGCAGTTTCTCAGGCAGTGGGTCCTTAACGCCGACAGGGGGGCTTTCTGCATTGCGGTTTTCGAACTCGGGGAACAGCTTCGTTCGGATCAAAGCCCTGTGGGGGGGGGTGGACACACCCTCGGTGAGACCCCAGAAGTCTTGTCTTTTTTCTCCCCACCTTACAACCATCTGGAGAGTCCCTATCAATTCTCTCCTCCCGGCAGGACACACCACCACCCCTCCTCCCACTGCCGCTTCAACCAGCTACCTCCCACTGCACTAATCTCCTCATAACCCACCCCTGAGGCCCTGCTACGGTAGCACCCCCCACAGACCAGAGAACAGTGGGGTCGCTGCTCTGGCGGCTCAGGTGATACGAGAGAGCCATAAGGAGGCCGCAGAAGACGGAGAAGAAGACGGGCACGTGCTGGTCACCCCATGGCGCCTGGAGGATAACAAGAAGAGAGAAGAGTCAGCCCAGGGTGGACTACCCTGCACCTGAACCTCTCAAAGCCTAACCCCAATGAATTCAGCAACAGGCGGCCCTAAAAAGATCCCCCAAAGACCTTCCCCCCTAATCTTGTGGGGGGATCAGACCAAAAATGTTATCTGTTTCTAGCCCCGCTGTTGCTAGTAGCTGTCATCTAGATGTTTCTGGAAGTTCAGTAGGACCAGCTGAAGGTGACAGCGATCTTGCTGTCCATCCTCAGCAGCTGGTACTCAAAAGGGTAAACTACCTCCAGATATGGAGGACAGGTTTATCAATGGCTACTGGCCATGGTGACTGAGGGGAATGTCCACATTCGGAGGCACTAAGCCTCTGAATTCCAGAGCCAGGAGGCAGCATCAGGGGAAGGCCTCTGCCTCTATGCCCTGTTGTTGGACCTCCAGAGGAACTGGTTGACCACTGTGAGACACAGAATGCTGGACTAGATGGACCACTGGTCTGATCCAGCAGGGCTCTTCTTATGTTCTTATGGGGGCTTCATTTTCATCTATGGTGGATAAGAAACACTGTAGACTTGGCCTTCATAGAAGCCTTTAAAAAACCCTTTAAAGTGGCTTCCCATCATTGCATCTTGCAACAGAACTTAACAAGTTAATTATGCATTGTGTACGTTTGCCCGCCTTCCCTGAAATTAGTGACCATCAAGGCCACTGGTGGCCCCAAGTTCTAGCATTATGAGAAAATCATGTTTTCAGTCGATGGTCCCACCAGTCTCTCTTTTGCTAAGTGACTTAACCAGCCAGAGGGACATCTGGCAACTCGACCAGCATCCACCAGCATCTCTTGATTGGGCAAACTGAGGGCAGAGTCTCTCAATGAATGGGTGGAGGAGAGTGGGGGGGGGGCACAGAGTACCAGGAGAGAAGTAAAATGCCTGTGGTGTATGTGTGTGTGTGTGTGGGGGACACTACGCGCTCCACTTCAGCATACTCTCACCCGGTGACAAAAAACAGTCCCTTCGCAGCCTGGATGTCACCTGGGGCATAGTTTAAAACCCATCTCAGTCCCATAAGGCCAGACTAGACCCACTTGCACCCACCACCCAATGAAGACCAGGTACCTTGATGGCTCCAAGGCAGAAACCATACAGAAGGGCAGCCACAAGGATGCTGCGAAGGAGGCCGAAGAGGGCAGTGAGGGGGCTGGTAGCAGCTGAGAAGAGAAAGAAGGCGGACCCATAAATACCCTGGTTTCCTCCCTTTTGGCCCACCCTTGGCTGGGGGAATCATGCACAGCACCACCTGCTGCCCACTATAGGGTACCACTGGCCCCATGTTTTCACCCTGCCTTGTGCATTAACACATTAATGAATCCCAACAGGACAACCCTACGACAGGGCCAAATGCCAGGTTTCTTCCACCAAGTGACTACCAACCACCTCCCCACTGGGGAGAGGAAGGTCTGTCCCACAGGTAGGCTTCAGAAACAGAAGCTGACCACCGTAGCCCTCCGTGGTCCAGCCAAGGATGAGCAATCAGAGACAAATACAGTCAGTATTACACCATCCTTCCTCTAAGGACTTCCCAGACAAGAAAACTGGTCTTTCCCCTTCCCTTTACAACAATCCTGCGAGGTAGTAGCTCAAGTTCACTGGCAGAATGCAGATTCAAGCCCAGGTGTCCCCAGTCTTAGCCCAGGATGACCTCTGGGGTCACCTTCCAACTCTAGAACAAGCAACGGAGGTTCACATTTGCCTTTTGCAAATCGAGGAGACTTTCCATCCCTCAAGTGGAACCCAAGAGTTCTCAACCCCCTCCCCCCTCCCTTTGCCCTGCTTTTTGCACCTGTTCCGCCGAAGATGTGCATGTCCACCTGCTCCAGAAGATACATGAAACATGTGTTGACTTGAGGGAGGAGTCCAAAGAGGAAGATGACGGGGAAGCAAAGGGTGAAAACTGGGGGGGGGAGAGAAGAGAAATCAAGTCAGAGACCACCACCACCACCTCACTGCCCAAGGATTCCACAATCCCCCTGCATAATAAACCCATACCCACCCATTCCATATTTGGCCACTCACCGGTAACCACGTCACGGGCACAGTAGAAGAAGTCGGAAGAGAAGAGTGCGAGGCCATAGAAAGCAACAGGAGGGAAGGGCACAGCACGGGCACACAGATCCAGCAGCCAAATCAACAGACACGCCACACAGAAGTAAACGGGCCGGCTGTAGGCAATGATCCAGTTGTGCCCCTGTCGACAGAGGGTGAGGCTGTAAGAGCAGGGGGCCATACCTGCTTTGTGTTGGGCACAGCATCTAAACGTAAGGCACATGCAAGGGCCTGCTGGGAAGGGAATGCTGAACTCCTGCTTCTCGGGTCTCATCTCTAGGGTATCACTGAAGACACTGGAGAGGCACATCTGATGCCACCTTTGCTTAGGAGCTGCTCAAGGTGGGGTGTGGTTGCTTGCATGGCCCCCTCTCTGTGGTTCTTGGATGCAGAGGGGTTGCTTACGAAGCACAGCTGTGCCAAAAATTCTCTGGGTGAAGGCACTCTCAGCAAAGGGAAGCCCTTCCGCTTCACTGAGCTACCCACTTTCACCCCCACATTATCAAGCCCACCAAAGCTATGGCAGCTGGATACTCACGTGCATCGGAGAAGCAGCGTCAGGTTGCACACTCTGTAAAAAAAATATTATAATATAATAACAACAACAACAACAACAACAACAGCAGCAGCAACAACATCCCAAAAGTAGTCGGGAGGCAGCAGAAAAATCACCTGCCAGAAATCACTGTTGGCGCTGTTAAGGGAAAGCAGTGTTGACAATTCACCAAGGACAGAGTGCTACAAGTTTGTCAGTGAAGAGGAAACTCCAGCTCTGGGTCTGCTGCCAAGGTACAAAGTAGCTGGGAGAGGGGAGTCATCAGCAGAAGTGACATCTGAAGGGGAGAAGAGCCCTAACTCTGCCTGCTGGTCTTCCCCTGCAACCACCCTTCTCTAACTTCCAGACACAACACATGAGGGCCAGTCAGAAAGTCAGGACTGCAGAGGAAAACCAAAGCCCCCTTTTCTCTGGCCCACTTCTCCTCCCCTGTACATTATGGGCAAAATTTTATTTATTTATTTTATTGCATTTATACCCCGCCCTCCCCGTGAACGGTAAGGATAAGGAATGCCACAAATGAACATCCCAAGTTTAAAACATACAAGTCTTATCTAAAGTGAACACCTGAAGCTGCATTATACTGAATCAAGACCCTTGGTCTATCGAGGTGAGTCTGGTCTGATTGACAGTGACTCTCCAGGGTGGCAGGCAGAGGTCTCCCACATCGCCTGCCACCTGGCCTTTTAACTGGAGATGCCAGGAACTGAACCACTGAACTTTTTCTTTTGGCTATATTTTACATTTCTCGTATTGCGTGGGAATCTTTGCAAATGACAAGACTCTGTTCTCACAACACAGCCTCTGCAACACATGCCACTGTGCCTCAGAGACCAACTAGGTGGGCCTTCTTTTCATAAACAATGCCAAGCTGTAGATCAGCCTAAATGTGAAACACTATTCATCAAAGACTTTACTCAACAAATACAGGAGATATTAGGAAACATATGTCACTCATCCAAGACTGGAGTAGGCAGAAGGATGGTTTTAAAGTTCTAATAATAATACAAACATGTAACCAAGTTTGCATTTCATAAACAAAATGCTTCTCAAAAAAGTACTTCTGTATAAATGTATATTTCACATCGATCTGAACCCAAATGCCATCATAACATTCTACATGTACATCACCCACCTCCACCCAATGAGTTACTTCAGTTCACCTGACCGTTAATGCACTTTAGTATTTGTATGGTTCCCTTTGAGGTTAGGCCTCTGTGTCAAGCGGCTCACGCTTGGTGATTTTAGCCATGCTGGTGACCAACCCTTCGTTCTTTACATCAGGGAAGCTGCTCAAACAGCACATGGAGCTTTTGTGTTCTCTGTGACAGCCCACTGCCACCACAAGGTAAGAACTGAGGCCCAGCAGGAGCACATGACCAAAGCGTTTGTCTGCCTCCTCTCTCAAAAGCAGGGCAAACGTAAGTATGGGGAGAGACTCCCCACGACTTGGCCAAATGACATCCTCACTGCATGGGAAGGGACCCCTGTACATAAAGGGCATGTGAAAAGGACAGAAGTCATAACAGCATCTGGGGCGAGAAGGCATCCATAGGTAGCAAAACTCCATTCAAATCCAAAGAGATCAAGGTTAAGGGACACCAGAGAATGTCACACTGTTTGGGAAGCCTCCACGGCTGATGGGCAGCCTGGGGCACCGGCCCCCAAGTGGCAAAGGATGGAGTTGGTTGTGGCCTGCCCAGACAGGGCTAAGACACAAGAGTCCAGGATACACTCTACTTTTTTTAAAGGGAGGGGCTGTAGCTTAGAGGCAGAACATCTGCTTGGCATGCAGAAAGTCCTGGCATCTTCAGTTAACAGGACCAAACAGTTGGTGTTATGAAAGGCCCTGAGGCCCTGGAGAGCCCTTGCTAGTCTGAGTAGACAATACTGACCTTGATGGGCCAAGGGTCTGACTCGGTATAAGGCAGCTTTGTGTGTTTTCAGGAAGAAAAGGTCTCACCTTCAGCAGGGAGTACTGGCAGCTGGCGATGACCACGCAGAACTGGAACACCCAAATGTCCCGGAAGAAGCCCTGAAGGAGGAGCAGATAGCCAAGAAAGGCTACCAAGCTCACCAGTGACACCACAAACACATTTTCTGCCACCCGCCGGTTCCTGGAGAGGCAGGAGAAGAAAGAACAATAGCTAATTGTTTGAACCAGCTAATACGGGAGATCCCAATTCCAGGACACCTGCAATCCACACCTTCGTTTGTTCTCTAATTAAATGGGAGTGCTGAGCTCTGGAAGCCCATGCAGGGTGCCGTGCCTTGCTTCCGTCATGCTGATAGCATCTGGGAACAGGGCACAGAACTCCCAGTCACACCCAAGACCCAGCACAAAACCTTGCAGAAACTGCTAATTGGAGCACAGCAATAAGGAAGCTCCGGTTCACGTAAGGATACACCTATTAGTGCTTCTACTGGGGTCAAAGGTATGCACTGAAAGGCTGCTTTGAAGGCAGGTGGCAATAAAAATGGCGCCGTCACTTCCCCCAAATGACTGTCCAGATTCACCCAGGTGTCCAGTGTGAGAATTCACAGCTCATCTGGCCAGGCACATCTACCAGGATTCCAGTTCTCCACAGCTCTTTGGGCTGTGAAGAGGCTGAGAAAACTGAAAGCAATGGAGAACCAATATCCCTACAGGCGCCACGCACCCGCCCCCCCCACTCCAACCCTTGGATCTGGCAAAACCTTGCAGGCATCTGCTTGTGCTTCCACGCCTGGCATGATGCTTGGAGGATGGCACAGGGGAACGCAGACCAGCCTGGACCAGCTAGAGCAGCCACTGGGGTCAGGTGCTTACCGATCCAGCAAAGCCAGCAGGGCCAGGCGGTCATAGCGCACACGCATCCAGTGCCCAGGCAGCACCCAGAACTTGTAGTACTGGCGAGGGTGGCACTTGTCCTCAATCATCAGCGTGTTCTCCTGGGACTCGTGCAGTGATTCTTGGTCCAGAAGGTCAAACTGAGGAGGGAGGGGGGAAATCAACAGGTGTAGAAATGCCTCATCCACTGACCTCTGCAGCGACCATTTCCTTTCCACAAACCCAGGCACAGGCTGCATACCACAACCACCTTAGATTTTTGGGAAAAGGAGCACAAGCAACTACTTAGTTCTCATGGTAGGGAAAAAATAAATCCTTGAAAACACGAAGACGGCTTGAGGTTAGGCACAGAGGGCAAGATAGATAAGACTAAGCATGGAGTGGAGAAAGCAGAGAGGGAAAACTGTTATCAAAGACAAAAGTAAGCAGTTCTTCACTCAAAGGTCAATTAACTGGTGGAATGCAGTGGCACAGGATGTAGCAACGTCTACACTTGGCTGCCTTTAAAAGCGGACCAGGCACTCATAATGGGCAGATTTATCAGTGACGACTGAGTCAATGGAACTTCCACATTCAGAGGAAGTAGCCCTCTAAATATCAGCTGCTCAGGTACAGCAGCAGGGGGAAGCCTTTGGTTTCCATGCCCTGCTTGTCGGCCTTCCTGGAGCACTGTGAGAAAAGAATCTAAGTATTTCTTATTTTATAAATTACCCTTAAAAATGGTTTCAGAAAATGTCCGCGTTGGTCTGCAGTAGAACAACTAGAACATAAGAACATAAGAGAAGGCAATGTTGGATCAGGCCAATGGCCCATCCAGTCCAACACTCTGTTACACAGTGGCCAAAAATACCAGGTGCTATCAGGAGGTCCACCAGTGGGGCCAGGACACTAGGAGCCCTCCCACTATTGTCCCCCCCAAGCACCAATAATACAGAGCATCACTTGCCCCAGAGTCCCTAACTAGATTCAAATTCAGTAGCACCTTAGAGACCAACAATACTTTTCTGGATAAAGCCTTTGACAGTCAACGCTCCCTTCATCAGATATGAGTTGGAATGGAAATGTCTTAGTCCTTATATCCCAGTTGGAAGGTAGGAGGGGTGTTGGTGTTGCAAAGAAGGAACTCAGGATGTAAATGTACAATGCCCACAATGATTAGCATTAAAAACAGATATATTTTTGTGGATTCAAATGGGAGGCTGAATAGAACAGATCCAATTGACAATTACGTCCCCTTACCTAGAACCTCAAAGGGTGGGGAAACAAACTCCGCAGTGCTGAATTTGTATTGCTCTTATGTAGGTCTGGTACTTTATGCTTGCAGAGACATGGTCCCAAGAGTCCAGTCTGGTGTAGTGGTTAGGAGCGCAGCCTCTAATCTCAGAGAACCAGGTGTGATTCCCTACTCCTCCACATGCAGCTGCTGGTGTGACCTCAGGTCAGTTATAAGTTCCTTCAGAGCTGTTCTCTCAAGGGCAGTTTTCAAGAGAGCTCTCTCAGCCCCACCTACCTCACAGGGTGTCTGTTGTGGCGAGGGGAAGGGATTGTAAGCAGCTCTGAGACCCCTCCTCCAGGTAGTGAAGGGCGGGATATAAATCCAATCTCTTCTTCTCACCTGCCCTCCAGGGATATCATACTTTTACAGTACCACCCTTAGCACCTGCGTAAATTACTCCCTATCCCCCCCAGCTCCCTCCCCCCATATAATTACACTGGAACCTCATTTTTTAACAATTATTTTAATAATTTTTACAAGTTTGAGAGTATTATACTCTCTCTCACTCACAAAAAATATCAATGGGCGCCCCAGTAGCACTCGGAGAATAAAAAGGCCTTGCCACACTTTCTAGAGGCGAGAAGGCCAAAAACAGAGGTCAAAACCTGCAGGGGCTTGCTGCACTACAGGCCCATAACCCCTCCCATCCCTGGCGTGGTTGTCAGGTTCTCCAAAGGAAAGGCCTGCATCTTAGCAAAGCTCCTTAAACAGATACTGCTGTTTCCCTCCTTGCCCTCATCTGCACTGAGCCAGCTATGAGTTCAGCAAGCACATATGACAGCAAACACAGGTGAGAAAAAACTGCCAGTCTGACACTTCCTGTGTGGCAGAATTCAGGGCCCAAATACAAAGGGAAGTGCTGGAGTTTTAGACTGGCGGCTTTATTTTTTAAAGACCACACAAGGAGTCTCAGCGCTCCCAGGGGAAAACAGTACAGCCTCCTGCTCCCTGAAGCTGATTAGGACGGATCCCAAGCTGGAGGTTCCATTGACGCACTCTTCAGGTCTGACCCCCACCACCCACCCCTAACTCAGGGGGCCTCACCTCGGGGATCTCCAGAGGCACCCTGCGCACTTGCATGCCCTGAAGAACCACGGGCCGTGGCTGCAGCAGCGTGAGGGCGGGAGTTCCTTCAGGCACCTCTGCGGAGTTGAAGCTAGAAGAATGTGAATGTCTGTCCCTGCCAAAGCAAACAACGGGTGAAAGGGCAGTAATCACCCAAACAATGTCCACGGGAAAGCACCACACCCCAAAGACAACACGGCCATTGGACAAAGAGGTCCTCATGGATAAGAAGCGCTTTCTTGGTACTTTGGGCTTCACTTAGAACCTCTGAAGCCACTTCAGCCACAGATTTATTTACATGTCCCACGAACAAAAGGTTGGAGTGCGGTGAGCAAGAGAGAAATGCCCTGATGCGGCAAGGGGTTCAGTCACTTGTGTTTAACCCTGCCCCCCAACACCCTGTTTCTACTGAGAAAGGAAACGGTCGAGACCAAAGAATTCCCCATCCACCTATTCCCAGGACACTTCAGTCTGCCACACAGCAGAGGGCTTGTTTGCTAACTATTCATTCCAATGTCTAGCTCAACCCCTCCCAAAGGCTCTGCCTAGAAACTGTAACAGAAAAGAACTCTGGGATGATGTCCTGCAATTTCACTACATGAGGTCCTGCTTGTGGGACAAAATCGGGTGAATGGGACAGAAGCAGGGAACATCACGTTCCTCTGCTATGTAAATGCAGGATTCTTTGCCAAAGGAGAAAAACACGCAAAGAGAACCAGAGGCCCGTACCGCTTCAAAGTTCTCAAAAACATGGTGAGATTCCTCTTTTGGCTTCACCGTCACAGCACCAGGTATTAGTCAACCACCTGGGCTGGGGGCCCTTCACTCCCTCGTCTGAAGCCCCTTGGTTAGGGAATGGCATGCATGACAATGGCTGCTTAGAGCTCAGACAAAGAAGGCCTCACCAGCCGCTGTTGGTTGTGTGATCCACTCCAACCTGCTGGCTAATTGGGTTCTCGTAGCCACCCCCTGCCACACCGAAAGTGTAGGAGCGCCGGACTCCTAGAGGAAAGGGAAGAGGAACTATTGAATACAAACGATTTTTTAAAATAGCAACTAAAGGTGTTCTTCTTACAAACATCACCAAAAGGAAACCCATGGGAGATCTGCCCAGAACAAAACTATGGAATGGTGCAGCAACAGGGCAACAGCCGTCAGAAAGGCCCTTGGAGATCTAGAACGCAACTCCTGCCACAACTCCTCTAAGCCACCTCCACACACACAATTATATCACTTCAGCAAACCTTAAAGCACAGTCAAGCACCTGCTCTGTTTACATTCAAACAGGAGTTGAAGCAAGGAGGGAGCAGGAACACAAGAGGCTGTTCATTTCTGCTTCTAAGCCCCTAGTTCATTACCTTGCCATGCCCTGAATAGCCCAGGCTGGCCTGATCTCATCAGATCCTGGAACCTAAGCAGGGTCATCCCTTAGAATCTGGATGGGAGACCACCAAGGAAGTCCAGAATTCCTAAACAGAGGCAGGCTATGGCAAACCACCCTCTTGCCTTGAAAACCCTACAGGGTCCCCATAAGTTGCAAGATGTGATAGTCCCACTGTACGCTGCATTGGTCAGGCCGCACTTGGAGTACTGTGTGCACCTGGAGTATTCTGGAGGCCTCACTTCAAAAAGGATGTGGACAGAATGGAGCTGGTGCAGAGGAGAGCGATGAGGATGATTGGGGGCCTGGAGACCAAGCCCTATGAGGAAAGGCTGAGGGACTTGGGAATTGTCAGTCTGGAGAACAGGAGGTTTGGGGGGGGGGGACATGATTGCTCTCTTGAAGTATTCGAAGGGCTGTCCCTTAGAGGAGGGCAGGGAGCTGTTCCTGTTGGCAGCAGAGGATAGGAACCGAAATAATGGATTTAAATTAAGGGTGGGAAGGTACCAGCCGGATATTAGGAAAACCTTTTTTACAATAAAAGAGTTGTGCAACTATGGAATCGGCTGCCTAGGGAGGTGGTGAGCTCCCACTCACTGGCAATCTTTAAGCAGCGGCTGGAAAAACACTCGTCAGGGATGCTCTAGGCTGATCCTGCATCGAGCAGGGGGTTGGACTAGATGGCCTGTGTGGCCCCTTCCAACTCTGTGACTCTATGATTCTAAGTCAGCTGCAAATTGAAGGCCCCCCCCCCAAAGAGTTTGTTACCCTCTCCCTACCCCAGGTGTGCCTGTCCACCAGAGGAAAAGACTATAGCCTTCCCTCAACTGAATAGGAACAGAAAGTGTTCCTTCTGTTGGGGGAGATCTTCTCCTACACCTGAAACACAGACAGGTGGTACAGCAGTCTTCTCACACAACGCCTGCAGGAGCCCCTGATGTGGCTCTGCCTTGGCCACTGTGCAGCCTCCCCCCCGCTCACTCACCACTCTCATCATAGAAGTAGTGCACGGCACCCTCAGAGGTATCGTCAAAGTTGCAGGCTTCGTGGATGGCGCCCCGTGGCAGCAGGAGGGAGCTGGCGAACTGCAGGGCCGAGGGGAGGGTGAGAGCACGGGAATGCGACGAGGCCCGGCCCCGCTGCAGATCCTGTAAACTGCACAAAGTGTGAGGGGGAGACAGTGAGCAACAGCTACATGAAAAGGCCCAGGCTGTTTGAAGAAGACAGGGGCTTACCTGGGTGGGGATCCCATCACTGAGGATGGGGGGGTGGGGTTGCTGCCTGCGTTATGCCGCCGCCTCATGGCCTGCATGCGCTTCACACTGCTGGACCGGTCTGGCTTGGGCCCTTCCTCACCGGCGGAAGCTGCAAGAGAGCGCCCACCAGAATGGCCAGCAAGGGGCCTGAGTTAAAGATGCAGGAGTATGTGCACACCATGCGCACGCACACTCAGAGCAGCTTATAATCTCCTTTTCCTCTCCCTCCCCACAACAGACACCCTGTACTGTAAGGTAGGTGGGGCTGAGAGAGCTTGAGATAATAGCTCTGAAGGAACTTGTGACTGACCCAAGGTCACACCAGGAGCTGCATGTGGAGGAGTGGGGAATCAGACACGGTTCTCCCAGATTAAAGTCCGCACTCCTAACCATTACACCAAACTGACACATGAACATGTGAAGCTGCCTTATACTGAATCAGACCCTTGGTCTATCAAAGTCAGTATTGTCTACAGACTGGCAGAGGGGCTCTCCAGGGTCTCAGACAGAGATCTTTCACATCGCCTACTGCCAGATCTTTTAACTGGAGATACTGGGGATTGAACCTGGGACCTTCTGCATGCCAAGCAGATGCTCTACCACTCAGCCACAGCTCAACGCCCCAATCTACAGCAGCCTGTCTCACACAGTGACCAACCAATTGCCCAGAGGGACCAATGAATGGGGCACAGAGACTGAGGTCTTCCCCTAATGTTGCCTCCTAGCACTAGCATTCAGAGGTTTGCTCCCCCAGAACATGGAGGTGTCTGTCACGTGTCATGGCTAGCAGCCACTGATGGATCTCTCCTCTATAAATCTGTCTGACCCCCCTTTTAAAGCAATCTACTCCTGTGGCCATCACTACATCCTCTGGCAGTGAATTCCACCATTTAGCTGTTCATCCGGAAAAGGCCCTGCAATTTCAGGCACTCACCTCCTCCAACGGCCCCTTCGGCTTGCAGCTCCCCCCTCCAGCCAGGTTGGTTGGCGGACTGACTGCGCACGGCGCTGCCTGATTCCTGCTCTGCTGTCAGCTTCCCGGAGTGGGATTCCAAGTCTGACTTGGAGACCGTCAGGGGGCCCAGGGGCTTCACCTCCACACTGCTCCCATCCATGCTGAGCACGCGGGCGTGGGTCTTGGCACTGGCTGTACTGCCAGTGCGCTGGGCATAATGGGAGTGCTTGGTCGAGAGGGTAGCGCCTTCAGGGGCTGGAGGCGGAGGGGGTTTGGCTTCAGCAGGGTGGTGCTTCCCATGCTGAGCGGGGGCGTGACGCTCGGGAGAGTAGCAGGAGGTGCTGGAAGAACTATCGGTGCTGTAGTTGTGCTGGGAATGCAAACTGGAGGCACGGCTCAAGTCACTGCAGTCGCTGGAGTCCTCATCGGCAAAAAAGCCCTCGGTGTAAGCTTTGCTGTCCAGGAGCGTGCGCATGGGCATGTAGGAGCTGCCGTGCTTGCGCGAGAGACGCCTGCGACCCTTGAGGCCCAGCTCCTTTGGCCGCACCACCTGCTCCGGATCGGGGCCACCCCACAGCTCGGTGTCCCCCTTGACCGTTTCCAGGGAGTTTAGTGTGTTTTGTGTGTCGAAGCTCAGCTCCCCGAGAAGGCCCAGCTCGGGGGAACGCAGCAGCTCGCTGTCCGACAGGGCATCGGTGTCACTGCCGCCATCCGGGGGTGGGGATATGCTGGCCACTGCCTCCTCCCCCAGGGCTCCCTCTCCGGGGGCCAGCCCGAGGGAGGGGCTGTCCAGATGGGTGGAATTGGTCTTCTCGCTGCGGTAACTGCTCAGGGTGCTGGGCGTCTCTTTGTCCGTGCCGCTGAAACAGCTGTCCGAAGAGCCAGCCTTGAGGGGCCGCTCCGGTCGGGGCTCCAAGGGCTGGTAGTCAGTGCCTGAGCGGCGCTTGTCGCGGCGGCTGTGGCTGCTGGCCTCGGGAAGAGCCAGGCTCAGAAAGCTCTGGCTGAGTTCCTCGCTCAAGCTGCTCTTGATGAGGGGGCTGAGGGGTGTGTCCCCCACGCTCTCTGACTCGCTGGCGGTCCAACGTGGCAGTCCCGAGCCCGCCCCGGCTGGGGGGGACTGCTCGGAGGAGTCCGTGCTCTGAATGGATGTCTGGACTGGGAGGGACGGGGGCAGCTTCCTCCCGCTGGACGATGGCTCCGTCTTGGACACAAGCAACAGGCTGTTTGCACCTTCTAGGTCAGAGGGCACCCTAGGAACCTCAGCAGCTATAGAGGGAGGAAGGTGGGGAGGAGAGGGTTACCGAAACAGCAGTGCAACGCAATACAGGAATACTGGCTTGTGGGGATCGTAGCCAGATATTTATAAATGTGTGCACACACAGGCATGCACAAATGGCTGCACATGGAGGCTAACAGCCTTAATTCAGAGAGCAACATCAGCCCTGCCCAGGTAGCACAGCTTTCAAAAGCTGCTTTCAATAGGATACATTTACTACAGTTATTTCTATGTCTCCCCCGCCCCGCAAGACTGCAAACCACACACAGACGTCCGCAATGATTCCACACACACACCCCCCTCTTTTTTCACAAACCACCTCTGGTGCAATTTCCCAAACATGCACAAAGATATAGCAAAACAGATTACTGATGTTGATGAGCACCAAAGGTCTGAAAAGCCCCTTTGTGTTTATTTATTCATTTTAAGTATTTACGCCCCACCAGATCTCCTTAGACTCCGGGAGGTTAACAATGCAATGACAAGTTGTCAGAACAGACACACACACAAAATAGTCCATTAGCAAGACAAAAAGAGGGCACTGGTTAAAAACACAATCAAATCTGCCAGTTTACTGTCCACCAAATGCCCTTCGCAATAGAACTGGCTGCACGCCTTTCTAAATGCAGCTAGTGAAGGCACCTCCTGCACCCACTGTGGATCTACCACAGGCCATTCCAGAGGACTGGATCTACCACAGGGGAAAAAGTGACTAAGTCATTGCTGTGTAATCTTAGGAGGACACACTGCAAGGAAGGCTGTCTGAAGAACGGGAATACGGGAGTACACCATGAGATGCTTTCTCCAACTACCACAATCCGTCCCACACCTCAGTATCACAAGCAACTGCTTCAACTCATGAGCACTGAAAGAGCCTTTTGCAGCATACCATGGCAGAGTCACTCCAAAAGCATTTCTCACCAAATAAATAATCTTTTGCTGTTTACATCCACCCATGTAGTAAATACCCCCAACCAGCCAAACGTTCCATCTCTGGGGCTCCTTCACCCCCATCTTGTCATCAGTTATTTAGCTGCTCCCCTTGCAGTCCTCAATAACTATCTCCCAAGGTCAAAAGGTGAACATATTCCCATGTCTAGCAAATCCAAGATTCTTCCTCCTCTCCCCCTCCCTCTGCCTATCACTGTAAGTCTAGGGCAGGCTGAACCACCCCTCACATAGCTGAAAAACCGTGCTTGCATATATTAACACATGCCTATCGGAATCATAAGCCAGGGCCTGATGAATCCCAGGCACCAGGTTATCATAATTTCATTAGGGTGCCTAGTATTTTCAGCACTGATTTTATTGTTACATGTCCCAGCAATCCTCAGCAGAAGCACAAAGCTCTTCTGTCATTTCACTTCAGAATGTGTCTTGTCGGACACAAAAATGCACGTGCACAAAGTTCTTGTCATTCGTTCTTTACAGGTCAACATTATACCATTCAGCGGTGGTGGATGAATTAATTTCTTAACCAGTTGCTTTATATCCTGACTCCAACATTCAATTAAATGGAGCTTTTGAAGGCAACAACAAAAAAAAAATTAGGAAAAATTGGAGAATGGCTAGCTTTTGTTGAAGTGATAACAACCAGGGTTCCTCCCATTGCTTATTTCTATACCACAACATTTTTATCATCGCTTTGATCGAATGACAAGAAACTGAGGAAGCTAGGATTAGGTTTTGTGGTAGCAAAAAACCCTCAGAAACTCTTGTCATAAAATAATATGAACTCCTGAAGGCTAAAAAACACATCTGGCTCCTCAAGTCAAAGAAAATTCTTCAAGGCCTCTCCTGGGAATCAGCAGCAAAACTTCAGAAGGTGAAACATTTTTAGGAGGCTGCAGGATCGGCTTCAAGCAGCACCGGCTGATGGAGCCTCGCGAGGAAGGGCTCAGGATGCCCTTTCCCTACTTAAGGTCTTGGCAAAAATAGATTAAGACATGGACCGAAGGTCAGCTTGTTTAGTCCCCTCTTGTCCCCAAACCAAGGCCAGAGACTTACTGCAGTTCTCCGGGGAATGGCGCTGGAGCATGTCCCGATCTGCGGCTGTGACAATGACATTGTTGCTGCCCTGCTCACGCACGAGTTCCTTGATGTCTGTGGAATGAAGCAGCAGAAACTTGAGAGGCTGTACCCTCTTTAGTCACTGTAAATACCGTGCCGCATACAAACCTCATACGCTCTGGCCCCAATCTATGCTTTCCCCCTGTGTCTGCCCTCTGTTCATCCCCTTGGCAAGGGAGGGAACCCTGACACCCCTGTCCAGTTCAGGAGCTGGACAGCATCGGGGCCACTTCTGGCATTACCATTCCCTGCCCACGCTTGAAGATACACACGTATGCGGATAAAATGGAGGAGACAATGATGTAAGCTACTGAGGGTCCTCACTGGGGAGTAAAGTAGTAATAAATGAGATTAATAAATAAATAAGGCAGCAGCCGGTAAAGGACATGCATCCTTGGTAGTCTGGGAAAAACCGTACACAAGTCCATCCATTGCAAAGGGGCCTGCAGAGATGCACCCAATGAATCACTCTCCCAAATGACTGAACAACTGTATACTAACTGATACAGGATCAGGGGAGTTCTAACTGCTTACCTCTTACAGGGCCCCCATCCTCCAAGTGAGGCAGCAGATCCTAGAAGGGAAAACACACACACACACAAGAAGGTCAAGTTACTTTTTGGCAAGAGGATCCTGGTTGGATTCTCAAACACAGAGGCAGTAATGAAAGAGGAACTGGAAGCTGGCGGAATCGCCACACCTTACTACGATCTCTTGATCAACCCCAAGACCCATCTAGGTGAGAAGGAGGGGTGTGTGCTGAGCTGAAACAATACCCGATAAACAGCTTATCAGTATTTATCAGGTATTTTCTCAGCCGATCACCGAGAAGGCTAGTGATTCAGTTATCTGAAAATGGATGCCCTGAAAATATTCAGGATTTCTTGGGACTGCTGGATAGCTGGAGTTCATGGTGAACTCACCACTTCAAGAAAGCATTTAAAGGGACCACAACTCGAGCCCTTTAAATGCCTTCAGAGTTCACTCACAGCTTAGACAAGGTATTTAAAGGGTCCATGATCTCTTTAAATGCCCCCCCCTCCACTGGAAACAATGGAGGATGGAGGCAGCTCTGTTGGGCAGTCCAGTTCAAGCCAAGCTGCCCAGCAGAACCCCAGCAGAGCCTGTGGGGAGAACTCACAGAGCTGCAAAGAGGAGCCAGCCCAGGATCGGACTTCTGTAAGGCATGGAGAGGAAAAAAAGGCATTTAAAGGAAAATCCCTTTGAACGCCTTTTGCAAGCCACACCGCAAGTGAACTCCGAAGCGACAAGTTTACCCAGTGAGTTCACCTGGAGTTTTATTTGTTTTTTATTTAATTATTTAGATATTTTTATTCCACCCTCCCCAAAGCAGGCTCAGGGTGGATCACTAGAGACCGAATCCAAGACTTGTTACAATAAAATCACATTAAAGTCATTAAAACAATAAAATCACACGGGTAGTGACAATTTCATATAAATCTGTTAGGGCTACAAGGTGGAATCAAATGGGCCCTTTCAGTGGGTTGGGAACTACAGAAGGGAGGCCAACTGAGATGGACACCTGCTGCCTCACCCGAAAGCCTGGTGGGACATTTCTATTTTGCAGGCCCCTGTGGAATGACAGAAGGTCTCACAGGCCCCTGATCTCCAGTGGGAGCTGATTCCACCAAGCCGGAGCCATGACAGAAAAAGCCCTGGCCCTGGCTGAGGCTAAGCAGATGTCCTTTGGGCCAGGGGCAGCCAGTAAGTGTTGATCCTGTGAACGCAAGGCCCTTTGGGGCATATATGGGAAGAGATGGTCCTTCAGATAGGTTGGTCCCAGGCTGCACAAGGCTTTGAAAGTTAATACCAACACCTTAAAACGGATCCGGTACACAATTGGTAGCCAGCGCAAGCGGCATAATACTGGCCAAATGCATGCCCACATTCGCCATCCATGCCTTTTGCAAGCTGCGCTGCGAGCGAACTCCACGACAGTGAGTTTTCCTGGAAGGCTTCTGGGTGAACTCGCTGCTTCGGAGTTCACTTGCGGCGCAGCTTGCAAAAGCCATTTAAAGGGACTGTGTCCCTTTAAATGGCTCCCCCCTCCATTGGAAACAATGTAGGATAGGGCACCTTCTTCTGGGGCCCATAGAATTGGACCCCCTGGTCCAATCTTTTGAAACGGGGGGCGGGGGGGTGACGTGAGGAGAGGCAACAGCAGCTATGCTGAAAATCTGGTGCCTCTATCTCAAAAACCAGCCCTCCCAGAGCCCCCAATACCCCCAGATTAATTCTCCATTATAGCCTACAGGGACCATTGACTATAACATAGGGTATAATGGAGCCCCCAAAAATTGGTATTCCCGAATATTTCCCAAATCCCAAAACCATACTGATATTGGGATTTGGGAATATCAGGAAATACTGGTATTTTTCAGGTCCAATATACCCAAACCTCCCAAAAAACAATTGTTTTGCACACCTCTAGTGATCAGGGAGCAAGTAAAGATTCTCTTATGCAAAGTTCTATCAAGCCTGTGCAGAGATCCAGCCCCCCAAAGGGAGGAGCACCCATTTCGCTACCCTTCTGCAGAACCTAATTTAAACCAAGATCTTAATCTCAGAACCCCATCTGGATGCCTCATCATGACATTAATAGGAATGTTTCTAGACACACACAGAATGGCTTTCCTTCTCCACTGGGAGGCTTAGAAAGCACAGTGCCCAGGCAGGCACAAGCCCCAGCACCTTTATTTTTATAAAACACAACTTCAGTTATACAACCATAGACTGGCAAGGGAGCCAACAGTTCGTCTACGCCAGAAGCACCCCCAAACGCCTTCTGCAAGCCTCAAGGGAAGGAGATTTCCCTTGGGAGCACTGAACTGCTCTAAAATAAGCACTGCTTCTGTGTTCTCCCTTTTGCAAAGTCCCAGGAAAGGAATGACAGGCTAAAGCAGCCCAAGGTATCTTCCTCATTCGTACCATGACCTGGTTGAAGCCAAACACAGAATGCTGGGAACTGCACCTCACTGGAGGCGTGGAACTGACTTTCCGGAACACAGTCATCTCCACTCCGCCAGGATCTCTGCGGGACAAAAAGATATGGCATGTTAATTGCATGTAACTTAAAATACATAATAGTGTGTCAGACTAGGACCTGGGATGGCCAGGTTCGAATCCCCACTGTGCTAAGGAAGCTCACTAGCTGACCTCAACCAGTCACTCTCAGCTTAACCTCCCTCACAGAGTTATTATGAAGACAAAATGGAAGCGGTAAGAATGTGATAATCTACTCTGGGTCCCCACTGGGAAGGAAAACAGAGAATAATAATCTACATGGACAATTATAAAGCCACACTGCCCTTTTGGGTAAGTATATGCGCACACACCCCAGTGTGACGGCATTCTGCCAGATATACAATATATACAATCTGGAGCATGCAAACAAACAACACCAAGAAGGGGCAAACAGTAATGCGTCTGCATCCCGAGCTACCCCGACTCCCATTAACTTTATGCTGCCCTGTCCAAGAGCTCTCCAGCAATTCAGAAGGCGATTCTGTTTCACTGACTGTTCCTCGGTATTTTAGATTTGCCTGTGGCTGAGGGAAAAACAGGCACTTCTCCTTTGGCTTTCCATTAGAAGGCAACCACAGGCATTTCAGAGGCCTTCTTCAGGGCAGGGAACAAGACAGGCACATTGTTCAGAGGGCTGGAAAAATCCCAAGAGTCTGGTTACTCGCACAGATGGATGCTTTACAGTGGCACCTCACACTGGAAGTTTTTCTAGACCTCCCACAGGCCTGAGCCTAAAATCCAGAAATGGCTCCCACAATTCACACTGTGTCTGTGAATCTGCATCCCCCCCTCCTGTTTTTTAATTTGGAAAACTCTAGATATTTCAAACTCACCACATACTCCCGGAGCACTTAATGTAACAGCTAATCCAGCCCAGAAAGTATTAGGGAAGAAGAGAAAACTCCTAACCCAAGAATATACAGACTGTATGTAAGTAAATACAGATTCCCTCTCCTGCAATGCCACCCCCCTGCTCACCTGACCAAGTTCCCCTCATCAGCAGCAGCTCCTTCATCAGCCTTTGCCTCCTCTGCTAGCACTGAGTTCTTCTTCTCCACAATCTCACCCTGGTCAAACATGGTGTGCAGGCGATAGTTGACGATCTTGACAGTGGTGAAGAACGTGGCCACCACAGCACAGTACACGCCCGCCACCACAACGCTGGGAGGCATCACCTGTCACCAAAAAAGGGCAAGTATTAACAACAGAACTGCAAATCCGGTCCAGGGCATAAAGCCCCACAGAACAGGCACCAGCTCTCTGCATAACAGAAGCACAATTAGGCTACGCGTCAAGGGCTGCACTTCTGTAAGCAAAGCAGTGGTTCTACAAAACCAGCTTACGCTGAGAATGGTGGAAAGAGGCTTTTGAGTAATACCAGAACGCTTGTTCAAATGTTCAAAGCAAAGGAAAAAATTCAAAGCATGAAAATAGACTCTGACATTACATCTGCAAGCTAGTGTTTGCATCATGAGGTAACATTTCAATTCTTTTCTTTGAAATCCTACACCTGACAAAGAACTAAGCATATCTTGTACACTTCAAAGCTACATTCGCAGACAACAGGGGAAAGAAACTTGCTTTTTTAAAAATGAAAGCTGAGAGCATCAGAGAAAGTTGCAGTAGCTGGGGTGGTGGGACAGGGAGAGCAGTATTCTATAACCTCAGTATCAGCACAAAGACTTTTCTTAAGCAAGCACTCTCTCTCCTGAGAGCTTCATGTCACAGCCTTTGGATCTGCAGCACTGACTCCCAGACAGGACATCAGCAAGCAATTTGCTTTCCGCAGTGACACTTTGCTAACAAGCCTATTTTAGTCCCAGAGCTGCAAAAAATTAACGAAGATGCATCATCCACTGGGCTTTTGGTCTTGACTCGGGCACTTGCATTCCTCATCTGAGCTACCCCGTCACAACCCATTTGCAAGCACTATTTTGTCTCAGTGCCTGAGAGAAAGACTGGTCCCCAAACAAGACAACTTTTCTCCACATTCCTACTGAAAAAAATTGTGGGAATGGATGCCACCCAAGTCCTAGCAGTCTTACTGTTCTTCCTTAGCAAGCTCATGGTGAGAAAGGCTGCAATCAGAAAACAAACATATATACGAAAATGGCTGTGGGAGAGCTACAAGTAGACCCTGCCTAGCTGCAGATATCTTCAAATACATGCACAGAGATCCCACAGCCCATAAAGTAGGAAAGGGGTTTTGTCAGTTCCAAGACTGTTGCTGCAGATGGCTAAAACGCAGTGGCACCAACTTCCTGTTCTCTCTTCATACATGGCTGAAAACATGTACTTCACATCCCTAAGCACCACAAACCTTCAGCCTTCTAAATGGGGGTGGGGGGAAAGCAAGCATCAAAACTGCTGGGCGCCAGCCAGACTCGCATTTACGGATGCCTGAACACCTGGGATGTTCTCTAGGCCCCGTGCTCAAACTACAGTTTTAAAGCAACTCCCCACGTTTCACAATGCCTTTACAAGAAGCAGCTGCTTACAGCACAGGAAGGCTATCCTAAATAGGAACATAAGACATCCAAGGCTTTTAAAGAACAGTTTCTTTAATGGGAAGATGTTACTGCATTATGCCTCCTTTAATGCACAGCCTTGCTTCCTCTTCTCAGAGTACCCATTTGCTTTCAATGCAGACAATCCCACATTGATATTTCTATCCAGTCAACCACCAACAGTAAACTTGGGTTTCTCTTGTGACATCATTAGGTTTCAGAAGGAATAGCACAACTTCTTTTCTGGTTGATCTCCTCGGCATGTATTGGGAAGGCACTGTATAGAAACTACAAAAACTAAAAAAATGAGATTTCTTTAGAGAACAAAAAGCCAGTGAGGAAGGCTATTTGGTTGAAAGCATCCAGTGAGCGACATCGAATGAAGCATTTGATTCCCCTGGTGAGGAATTGAAACACAAGTAGTTCCAAGCTGCTTGTCTGACCAGGTGCCTTGAAACTCAGCCTGCAGTTATTGTACACCAAACTCAGTTTCCACAGACATCTTGCAAAAATATGAAAGGCTTCAGAAGCAAAAGGTGAACTGCCAGTTAATGATGAAAAGGACAGAAGCTTCAAGACTTCCAGTATCCCTATTAATCCTCAACTGGCTGTTGTCTTCTTACATTTGCACTGTCAGTTCAGACTTTGGGCATTTTTTTGTTTAAAGGAGACCAAAGAAATGACATAGGGAAGGAGCTGTTCTAGGTAGAAGAAGCAATACAGAAGAAAGACAAAGCTGCACAGTATCTCTGGTACAAAAAAAATTGCTAGAGAAGTTAATAGCATCAGCACATGTCTATTCCTTTCCTCCAACCACCTTTGCAGCAGCAGACATTACCTACTGCTCCCCAGACTCACCATGTACAGCAGGAAGGGGAAGGTGAGCAGGAAAATCCAGGTGTAGAGGTGGAAGCAGTTGGAGAAGGTGCTCTGGTGAGGGTCAAAGAACCAGCCACCAGTCAGTGAGGCCCAGACGCCTTGGCGTAGAATCTGCAGGACCTGTGACCCCATGTCCACGGTGGGGCCGCCTCTTCCTCGTCGTCCTCCTCCTCCTCAAGGAACACCACTGCCCAGCTGTCACTCACAATGTCCTTCATCAAGGCAGCTTACGACCCATGATCCACAGGGCTGGAGAATCCAGAACCCTCTTCTCCCCCACCCTGCTTTTTGGGATTAGTTGCACCCTCCTAAAAAAAACCCCTTCCCTAACGGAGGGGGGGAGGGGGTGATTCACGGCAGGACGGAACTGCCCATTCAAAGCAGGCGTGCCAGCCCTATCTGCGCTTCCCCTCCGAGCAGCCACCCCCTCCCCCCAACCTCCTCTTTCTCCGCTTGGTCCCTCGCCGTGGCTCACGCCATCGTAGCTTCCAGGAAAGGGTTCCGCCACCCTCTGCGCCCAGAATGCCTAAGGGAGCACAGTGAGGCGACCCAAAAGGGGAGCAAGCAAAGCGAAGCAGAGTCCAAGGCGGCAAAGACAGCCCGCAGAAGCTAGCCCGGAAAGGAGGAAAGCTCAATAAGGTTAAGCGGAGACCTCCATCGGGGGTGGTCGGGAAGGATAATTGGCGGCGCAGGCGAGGGGTGAGCAGTAAAGGCAGCTCCGAGTCCCTGGGGTGGCCCCTGGGGAAGTTGAAACCGGAAACAAACCGGGTAACGGCCACCCCTAGTCTCCCCCCCCGGTAGAGAGAACCCAACTCGTGTTCACTTCCGAGGTTAAAGGTCAACCCCACTTGGCTAGAACGAGGAAGGAATCTTGGCGCCTAAGCCTAATCGAGGTCTGAGGAGGCCGGAAGAACAGCCTGAGGAACAGCTGCAGTAACGCGCATGCGCTATATACCCCCTTGCCCTCCCTTCTAGACAGGAAGCAAAAGCGAAGGGTCACGAAACGAGCGTTGTTCATGCGCGAACATAAACAACCGTTTTTGCGCGTGCGTCATTCATCCACTCGGCTGTGCCGGGCCAAATTGAGGTTTTGCGCATGCGTCATTTTCCTGCTTCCTCCAATCCCTTAAAGAAAGGCTCATTCCACGCACGCGCTTCATCTTCGTCCTGTATGGAGAAACTGGCAAATGCGCAGGCACATTGGGAACTACGGGCATAAAGAAGGGCGGACGTTGGTTTGACAGAAGTCACAAAAGTGCGCACGCGCTAGTTTCCGGGTTTTGCTTTCCCCCTTGTTTTACGCAGGCTGTTGAATGGGTTTTTAAAAAGAAAAACAAAAGTATGAGTCCAGTGGTACCTTTAAGACCAACAGAGTTTTGTGTGCAAGCACACTTCTTCAAATATAATGAAATGGAAATGACCAGTTCATACATATAGGTAGAGGGTGAGCATTAAATTACTATACAGCATAATAAAGATGTTTAGATTAAAGGACCAAACAGGAATAACAAACTTAGTTTATATGGTTACCATTTGTTTAGGTTTAATTCTGGGGGAAAGCATAGTGAAGGAAATAAATATGTCAAAATTGGGGATTAAAGGGCAGATGTATCCTTAATTGTGGAATGCTGAGAGTAATTGACTGAGACCTTCCCATTACATTCCATCTGTCTCCTCTCAAGTATGGAGGTGACCTTACAGCATCTTCTTTGAAGTAGGGGGACTGACTGTGTAGAGTTATCTCCCCCTCTACAGACCACAGAAATACATTCCAATCTACCATTCTAAATCTGTTATTCCAAATATGAAATAAAATGAAATAAAGAGGATGTATGGCCCTTCTGGGGGATTTGTTAGAGTACAGATGTAAGGACTGAATGAGGTTAGCATATGTAGTGAAATAAGAAACCAATATCCCTGTTAAGTCCTGGGGAATTCCATTGTCCATTGTAATAACTTGCAACTCAGCAATTTCCCTTTCTAAACTGTTCCTGAAGTTTATTTGCCAATACAACAGCTACTTTGAGGTCACCCACTGAATATCCTGAAAGGTTGGAGTGTTCTACAGGTTTCTCAATCTTGTGGTTCTTAATGTCAGATTTTTGTTCTCCTATTGGTGCATTTAAATCAATTGAGAAACAGTTCTTTCTCTCACTGAGAAAGAAATGGAAGAAGACACATGTTCTATGGTGAAATTTAGAAAATGGGAAAGGGTGGTTATTCTGAGAGCAAGAGGAAGAATAATAAATTGTTTCTGATTTGTGTAAAGTGACTATGCATGTTCACTTTTTATTTAATGCAATATTACTGGTGTTTGTGATGCTTGTAAGGTTAGGCACAAAAATAGTAACATATAGTCTTTATGACAGCCATTTTGGAGTGTTCAATTCAAACTGCCTGGTTTTAATGTAACAGGTATTCTATTTGAGGTCTCTGAAACTTCAGCAGATTGCTACAGCGGTGACCTGGTTGCTTTCCAGGGCAAGTGAATTTGATCATTTTGAACGAGCTTCATTGGTTTCCAGTTCTTTTCCATGCCCAATTCAAAGAGCTGTTTTTCATCTTTAAAGCCCTAAATGGTTTGGGGTCAAGTTTGGGACCTTCTTCAACGTGAGCTGACCTTGATGATGACATCTTCTAGGGAGCCCTTGTTTTGTGTACCACCATCCTTTGCATTTCAGCAGATAGCCACATATAACAGAGTGGGGATTTGAACCTCTGTCTCCCAGGTCCGAACTCTAACCACTACACCATGCTAATCCTTATGAACTGTTCAGAATGGAAGTAAGTCTGACAACTTAGTGAGAACAAGCAGAAGGATGGAAAGAGGCAAGGTAACAACAGGAGAATGTGAAGAAATTTACAACTACTAATTTAAAAATGGGCATATGTAAACAAATTTAGGGAAATGTAGTTTAAGAGCTGCAAAGAGTGATCTAAGTGTTCATGGCTCAAAATCTCTGCTTTGAAACAAATACACCAAGTGGCAACACTGAGGATAGCTATACAGGTCTGCCTTCCAAGGTTGTTGTTGGAGTAACTGAGATTTCAAAGAGAGACGTGCTTTGAGCACTTACATTAAAAGTGCTGTGTGAATGCTACACATTATATACTTGTAAAAACTGGTAAGTGTAATAGTTAAAAGAAAGAGCTGTGCTCTGGGAGGCCCCCAGTTCAAATCTTGTCTCTGTTGTAAGTTCCTGATATGGCCTTAGACAAACAGCACTCTCCCAGCTTCATCCTCCCCAACCCTTCTGCCCTATAAGGATAATAATACTAGCCTATCTTATAGGGCTTTTGCAAAGAGTATGACAGGGTACGGTGTGCAAAGCTCTACAAAGGCACTAAAGGTGGGATTTGGGGAGGGGAAGGAGCTCATTGGGGTATAATACCATAGATTCCCCCCGCCAAAACAGTCAATTTTCTCCAGGGGAACTGATCTCTGTAGTCTGAAGATCTGTTGTAATTCCAAGAGATCTCCAGGCCCCACCTGGAGGCTGGCAATTCGTATCTACCCCTGGGGGAAATACACCATCCTCACAAGCAAAGCCTTGGACTTCTCACTAAACAGCTGCTATGTGGTAGTCTTCCTCTGGTAGCCCATTCTGCAAGGTGGGGGCGGCAACAGAAAATGTGTGGGCTCCAGCAGAGAAGGAATTGTATGAAGAGATTGCCCAAAGGGGTGTAACTGACATACATGATATGTGTCCTTTGAACAGGTGGATCCCAGGATACAACAACTTTTAAGGTAGGAAGAGACACCTTAAATCGAGCTTGGGAATAATGAAACAGGAAGCCGATGTAATTAATTTAGCACAGGCATAATGTCCTTATATTGAATATTATCACATTCTGATCCTGCGCTTTGTCCAAGGAGCTTAAAGCACCATATGTGGCTCTCCTTCTTCAGTGACCCCTGTGAGGTAAGCTGGGCTGAGATCCCCCAGGATGGTTCATAGCAGAGCTGGAGCGTGCGACTTTTATGGATCACCATTCTAGCACTCTGACCGCTACAATGAACATAAGAGAAGCCAATGTTGGATCAGGCCAATGGCCCATCCAGTCCAACACTCTGTCACACACAGTGGCCAAAAATACCAGGTGCCATCAGGAGGTCCATCAGCGGGGCCAAGACACTAGAAACCCTCCCACTGTTGCCCCTCCCAAGCACCAAGAATACAGAGCATCACTTGCCCCAGGCCGAGAGTTCCTATCTATGTTGTTGTTCAGTCGCACAGTCGAGTCCGACTCTTCGCGACCCCATGGACCAGTTCCTGCCAGGCCCTCCTGTCTTCCGCCATCCTCTGAAGTTTGCTCAATTTCATGTTCGTTGCATCTATGACACTGCCTAACCATCTCATCCTTTGCTGTCCCCGTCTTCTTTGACCTTCAATCTTTCCCAGCATCAGCGTCTTCTCCAGTGAGTGCTCCCTTCTCATTTGGTGGCCAAAGTATTTGAGCTTCAGTTTCATTATCTGGCCTTCCAGGGAACAGTCAGGGTTGATTTCTTTTAGGATTGACTGATTTGATCATCTTGCAGTCCAAGGGACTCTCAAGAGTCTTCTCCAGCACCATAGTTCAAAAGAATCTATTCTTTGGCACTCAGCCTTCCTTATAGTCCAACTCTCGCAGCCATACATGACTACTGGGAATACCATGGCTTTGACCATGCGGACTTTTGTTGGCAGGGTGATGTCTCTGCTTTTTATCATGCTGTTTAGGTTTTTCCATCGCTTTCCTCCCAAGGAGCAGGCGTCTTTTAATGTCATGGCTGCTGTCACAGTCTGTGGTGATCTGGGATCCCAGGAACGTGAAGTCTGTCACTACTTCCACGACTTCCCCTTCTATTTGCCAAGGAGTGGTGGGGCCGGATGCCATGATCTTAGTTTTTTTGATGTTGAGCATTGAGTAAACCCCACAGTAGGACTCTATAGTTTGAAAGCAGCCCTTGAATATGGTAGGAAACAAAGTGGAGGCCAGTATGGTTATTTTGAAGCAGGTGTTATATGTTGCCTTGTGCTTGGCTGAACTTTAAAAGACTAAATTGTATTGGGGAAAGGAAGAGGATAGTTGAAAGCTGATGCCAACCTTGGCCAGCCTTCCTGGTGAAGCATCATTGGGCAACTATAGTG